ATCTCTCCACCAGACTGGTGTACCGTAGGGTGCATGAGTTGGTGGTGTTGTTCTCTTGTTTGATCTTGTACTCTGTGTGTGTGTGTGTGTGTGTGTGTGTGTGTGTGTGTGTGTGTGTGTGTGGCGCGATAGTGACACATCAGTCTGTTTTGCCCAGTCGCAGAACAATGGTGGAATCTGTCCATTTCAACAAGACCTTGTAATATGGATGGGCCAAAAGAAAAGAAAAATACCTTGTAATGTAGGATTTGTCTGGATCTGACAGAACCAAGATTAGTTATTGAAGTTCCTTCCCTCTGAAAGTATTTAATTATACTGAACAAAAATATGAACGCAACATATAAAGTGTTGGTCCCATTTTTCACGAGCTGAAATAAAAGATCCCAGAAATGTTCCATACGCACAAAAACCTTATTTCTCTCAAAGTTTGTGCACGCATTTGTTTACATCCCTGTTAGTGAGCATTTCTCCTTTGCCAAGATAATCCATCCACATGACGAGTGTGGCATATCAAGAAGCTGATTAAACAGCATGATCATTACACAAGTGCACCTTGTGCTGGGGACAATAAAAGGCCACTCTAAAATGTGCAGTTCTGTCACACAACACAATGCCACAGATGTCAAGTTTTTTTAGAGGAAGTGTGCAATTGGCATGCTGACTGCAGGAATGTCCAACAGAGCTGTTGGCAGATAATTGAATGTTAATTTCTCTACCATAAGCCACCTCCAACGTTGGTGTATTTCTGTCTTTCAATAAAGCCCTTTTGTGGGGAAAAACTCATTATGATTGGCTCGGCCTGGCTCACCAGTGGGTGGGCCTGGCTCCCCAGTGGGTGGGCCTATGCCCTCCCAGACCAACCCATGGCTGCACCCCTGCCCAGTCATGTGAAATCCATAGATTATGGCCTAATGAATGTATTCCAATTGATTGATTTCCTTCTATGAACTGTAACTCAGTAAAATATTTGAAATTGTTCTATGTTGCATTTTATAATTCTTGCTAATTAATTTAAGTTTAAATCATAAGCATCTCAGTAGCTGAATGCGCCATTCTTGTACATTCCCTTAAAGGAACACATTTGGTGTTCTATGCCATTCATTATGTAGGGTTTTGAAGTCATGCTTGATGGTACCGAAATGCAGACCATGATCTCAGCCATGCCCTGTCTGGCTGCACCTACCCCTCCCCTGCCTAGAGGGACCATATCTGGGACTCTTTGTCTCTTCCCAGCTAGCACATAACGTTCTGAGAACCATATGTTTCTTAGAGCTTGGTGAGAGCGTGGTTGTCCTGTGGTTATTTTGCATATAACCTTCCCACAACTTTCTGGGAACGGTGCAGGATAGTTGCTTGGCTTTGGAACATTCTCAGCACATTTAAGAGACTTGACAAAATAACTTTATTTCTTGGTATTTCATTACTTCAACAGAATGCTTCCTAAAAGTTCAAACATGGTTACATTTCGTTTCAATTTTGGTAATGTTCTAGGAACGTTCTCCAACTGGTTTCTATCAATTTCAATCAATTTTATTTTATATAGCCCTTCTTACATCAGCTAATATCTCGAAGTGCTGTACAGAAACCCAGCCTAAAACCCCAAACAGCTAGTAATGCAGGTGTAGAAGCACGGTGGCTAGGAAAAACTCCCTAGAAAGGCCAAAACCTAGGAAGAAACCTAGAGAGGAACCAGGCTATGAGGGGTGGCCAGTCCTCTTCTGGCTGTGCCGGGTGGAGATTATAACAGAACCATGCCAAGATGTTCAAAAAATGTTCATAAGTGACAAGCATGGTCAAATAATAATCAGGAATAAATCTCAGTTGGCTTTTCATAGCCGATCATTAAGATTTGGAAACAGCAGGTCTGGGACAGGTAGGGGTTCCATAACCGCAGGCAGAACAGTTGAAACTGGAATAGCAGCAAGGCCAGGCGGACTGGGGACAGCAAGGAGTCACCACGGCCGGTAGTCCCGACGTATGGTCCTAGGGCTCAGGTCTCTCAGTTGGCTTTTCATAGCCGATCATTAAGAGTTGAAAACAGCAGGTCTGGGACAGGTAGGGGTTTCGTAACCGCAGGCAGAACAGTTGAAACTGGAATAGCAGCAAGGCCAGGCGGACTGGGGACAGCAAGGTGTCATCATGCCCGGTAGTCCTGACGTATGGTCCTAGGGCTCAGGTTCTCAGAGAGAAAGAGAGAACGAGAGAATTAGAGAGAGCATACTTAAATTCACACAGGACACTGGATAAGACAGGAGAAGTACTCCAGGTATAACCAACTAACCCCAGCCCCCCGACACATAAACTACTGCAGCATAAATACTGGAGGCTGAGACAGGAGCGGTCCGGAGACACTGTGGCCCCATCCGAAGAAACCCCCGGACAGGGCCAAACAGGAAGGATATAACCCCACCCACTCTGCCAAAGCACAGCCCCCGCACCACTAGAGGGATATCCTCAACCACCAACTTACAATCCTGAGACAAGGCCGAGTATAGCCCACAGAGGTCTCCACCACAGCACAAACCAAGGGGGGGCGCCAACCCAGACAGGAAGATCACGTCAGTAACTCAACCCACTCAAGTGACGCACCCATCCTAGGGATGGCATGAAAGAGCACCAGCAAGCCAGTGACTCAGCCCCTGTAACAGGGTTAGAGGCAGAGAATCCCAGTGGAGAGAGGGGAACCGGCCTGGCAGAGACAGCAAGGGCTGTTCGTTGCTCCAGAGCCTTTCCGTTCACCTTCACACTCCTGGGCCAGACTACACTCAATCATATGACCTACTGAAGAGATAAGTCTTCAGTAAAGACTTAAAGGTTGAGACCGAGTCTGCGTCTCTCACATGGGTAGGCAGACTGTTCCATAAAAATGGAGATCTATAGGAGAAAGCCCTGCCTCCCGCTGTTTGCTTAGAAATTCTAGGGACAATTAGGAGGCCTGCGTCTTGTGACCGTAGCGTACGTATTGGTATGTACGGCAGGACCAACTCGGAAAGATAGGTAGGAGCAAGCCCATGTAACGCTTTATAGGTTAACAGTAAAACCTTGAAATCAGCCCTTGCCTTAACAGGAAGCCAGTGTAGGGAAGCTAGCACTGGAGTAATATGATCAAATTTCTTGACATTGGGAATGTTCTCAAATAGTTCAGAGAACGTTAAGAAACAACTTTCTTCTGTGGGAATTTCAGTACTTCAGCATAACACTTCCTACAGGTTTCCTCATGGTTCTATTTAAAGTCATGTTCTCAAATTGTTTAGAGAACGTTAAGAAAATGTTCCATTAAAAACCACAAGAAAACTTTAGTTACATTCAGAGAACCTTCAAAGAATGGTATTTAAAAACATATACATTCCATTCTCAGCATCATCAAAACTCTATATCCTCTATCTTGTGTGTTCAGATGTGTTGGCTGCGCCCACTAATTGGCCACACCTGCTCTTAATGACTGCTTGTTTCCTTTGGGGTCTGTTTGAATAGACTAGAAGGAACAGCTTTGTATGTGATAAAAATAAATAAATAAAAATAAAGATAAACTGCTAGCTCTGTCCTGGTGGCGCAGTGGACCAATTCCATGGATAATAAACAGAATATTATTGGTTCAAATCTCACAGATGCTGTGTGACAAAAAAAGAAACGCGTTTGCATGATTAATGCCTAAGGAAATTAATTTCCATGTGTCCTATATCTGTGCTTGGAATAAATAATAATAATAATAATAATAATATGCCATTTAGCAGACGCTTTTATCCAAAGCGACTTACAGTCATGTGTGCATACATTTGTATTTAAAAAAGTTTACCCAAAGTAAGCTAGCAGTGTTATTACAAGTCTTATTGAAACATTCAGTGAAAGTTAGGTTATTTTGAGTTTTTGGAATATCTTATCATTTTCATTCTCAGAACGTTATTAAAACCTCCCAGGAAAACTTTCATGGAACCAGAGTATAACGTTCTCAGAACCTCCCTGCAACATAAAAACAAACGTTCCCAGAACAGGTGAAATTTTCACTTCTGTTCTCAGAACGTTTAAAAAACATTATGTTTTACTGGTCAGGAAACGTATGGCTTCGTTCCCAGAACCAATGGGAAACCAAAAACTTCCACAACTTCCAAGGAACCAAATGAGCAACAGCATATGAAACGACAACAACAACAACAGTCTAAATACCACGTCATGTTTCTTAAAGGAACTCTAAAGTCGTCACAGAGGTTTCCTACCTCTGCTTATTCTCCATCTGCCCTCTTGGTTTTCTCTCATTGCTATGCCTCAGTACCCATGTGGTTTCGGGATTTTCCCCTTTTTCCCCCTCCTCAGCTACTTCCATAAAGGAATGCTGTTTTCTGCAGTGTTGCTGTGTTGTATGTTTAGCGGAGCGCTACAGTAAGAGGTACAGTAATAGTCTGAATGGATGCACAGTCCTTTTTGAGGCCTGGTTTCTTCTCTTTCTCTTCTGTGTGTTTTTTTTATGACAACCTGTAGTGTTGTATAAGATGTCGTTTTGGGTGTGCACCTGTGTGTTGGTGTTTAACGACCCTCAGGTGTGTACCAGTGTGTACAGTGTATAATAAATAACCCATTGGCGAGTTTCTCCTCTGGTTTCCCTGAGATTCTCAATGATACTTGTCTTGTGACTTCTTTGTTATTAGGCTGTATGAAAGTGTCTGGTTGTTGTTGCATTCATACCTTTACATTTAACATGGTTAATGATTATCCCCCTTAGGAAGTTGTACATTTTTAGTAACACACAAACTAAACGATGGCACTGATGTAAAGTAAATTTTGCCCTAGTTTCAACTAGGCTGGGACAGAGCGGTTAATTTAGCTCGCTTATCAAGCATTGGGCTCAACATAAAATTCACATGACATTTGCATTTAGATGAGATAATCACTAATAACCTGCCATACCTTATGGGTTGCTACAATGGCATTCCATGGACTGTGTATACCAAATCAGAATGCAGCAGAGATATGGACTCCGATGGTCTTGAGTGTGTACTGTAGTTCATCTGCCTGTGGTGACCTTGACGTGTGTACTCATCTGTGTTTTCTCAGCCTCAGCACAGGGTAGTGGGAGGAGCAGTGGCCAGGGGAAGTCAGGGAGGAGTCCACTCCAGACACTCTATGACAGTGACCAGGTAAGTCCTGCCCACTACCAGGTAGGATTCACGTTGATGACCACTGAACTTGTTTTGGTCATGTTTTATGAGTTAGAATAGGTGATTTGTGAAAATTAAATTATTGGTAAGTTATTCAGTCTTTACTGCTTACTTGCTGAAAATTTCTTATCAGGGTTTCCCCTATATTAATTTAGCTGTCGCCACTCCAAAAAATTATAAATGTTTTATGTTATATATAAATAAGTAATTTTCGGGATGGTAAAACAATTTCAGTGTAAACTTAAACGACTAAAACCAGATATAAAGTATGTACAAAAGATAATGGAGCAATACATTTTTTTATAAGATCATCTTTGAGAACTAACAATCACCAAAATAAAAATTAAACAGTCGTGGAGAATCAAAAATGGCATGGGGCTCCAGTTGATTTTGTTATGTTTGAGTCACTCAGATAGCATAAGAACATGGCATAAGCCATGACAAAATATGTAGAATTGCAAGAAATTTGCTTTAAAACTGCAATTCTTTCTCTCAGCCCCATGACAAAATGTGTATAATTGCATGAAATTAGCTTTAAAACAGCAAAATGCTGTCTCTGCGGCCGAGAAGGGCCTCTACATTTTTTGGTCGTGGATCGCACCATTGTCCACACCCATTACCACGCCCCCCCCCCCCCCTATGCTAACTGTGCCACTGCTTCTGAAAAAAGTCCTAGGGGAAACACTGCTTATAATGTGAATTAAGTGGTGTTAACAACTTGAAATAAGAGTTGTCTTGTCGGCTTTCCTCAACCAATATTACATTTTTCAAGCAACTGCAGTATGATGATTAACATCTTTGGCATAAGTCTATCTGAATTTTGGCAGTGTAAGCCCCTAATAAAATAACTTTCCAATCCATGTTTTTTTTTTATTAATCCCACATTGCTACTACAAATGTTCCTCAAGCTCCAAGGGTTTGGTGTCTCACAATCTGTACTAATTTCAAGCCTTTCAAACTGTTACTAGTGACTGTCAGTGATTGACACAGGTGTGACCCTTGACCTTTCTGATGTTTTTGTTTACCATCTAGTTAGCGTTGGAAAATTCCAGTAACTTTTCCAAAATGCCCAGGTTTTCCAGAAATCCTGGTTGGATAATTCCTGGAATCAGGAGGGAATAAGCAGGAAATCCGGCAATTCTCCAACCAGGGTATCTGGAAAACATTGGAATTTTGGAAAGTTTCCGGGATTTTGCAAGCCTATGTCTATTACAGCTCTTTGAAGTTACTCATCAAACAAAAGCCCTGACTTGACGATTCCAGACTGCAGTCAGACATTTGTTAGCGAAATGAAATTATTTTGGACAGGCACTTGATTGAAAAATATATTTTAAAGCGACATGCATTCGCAAATTTATTTTTGCCTGCCTACTAAGGTGTGGGTGGGCATAAAACTGTCTCGTAAAAAATTGTAATTTGGCCAGGATTTGTCTCTATCTCCCGACTCTCTTTCCCACCGTTGTGTCAAGTTAGCTGGATGTCCTTTGGGTGGTGGACCATTGTTGATACACACAGTAAACTGTTGAGCATGAACCCAGCAGCGTTGCAGTTCTTGACACACTCAAACCGGTGTGCCTGGCACATACTACCATACCCCATTCAAAGGCACTTAAATCTTTTGTCTTGCCAATTCACCCTCTGAATGGCACACATACACAATCCATGTCTCAATTATCTCAAGGCTTAAAAATCCTTCTTTAACCTGTCTCCTCCCCTTCATCTATACAGATTACAGTGGATTTAACAAGTGACATCAATAAGGGATAATAGCTTTCTCCTGGATTCACCTGGTCAGTCTATGTCATGGAAAAAGCAGGTGTTCTTAATGTTTTGTACACTCAGTGTATGTAGCCTATAGAGTTGTATAGGCTACTTAAGTGTCCCATGTCATTCAACTTCTAAACAAACGTGTACAGTCAGTGTGTCACTACGACGGATTGAAATTCTGGTGTCAACTGAGGCAGAAGGATAAGTCCTGGCCCACAAACCCTCTACAATTATACAGTATGACATTACCTAGGGGCTGTTCCAAAACTAAGACTTGGAGAGAGCGTGAGAGAAATTAGCTTGGTTAGTAGAGTTCTATAGGAGTTAGCTGTTGCCAATTATATCTCAGAGGGAGGGGAGTCCGAGGCCCATGCCAAAGGACTGAAGAACTCCTAAGACATTATTTACTTTTAATCGCTTGCGGTTTTCTTTTTGTTATTTTGCACTTAGCTCGTCCCAAGTGGAACCCTGTGGTGGTGCGATACTCTGAGGAAAAGTGTTTGAATTTATGAAGACAGCAAGCAAAACTGGAAGAACATCATAATCAATTTGTTATTAATTTTACTTCTCTGTATATGCATACAGAATATTTTGTTGGGAACACTGAACGGTGTAATTAATTCATACAATACGTTTAACCTAAGCAAAGGTTTTACAATGCATGTAGAGTTGACCTTGCATTCTTAAGTTACCCCTAGGTTTACAAGGAACCCATTGAATCTACTTGAGGTAAATCGTAGCCGACAGGGACGACTCCAGATAAGAGTATGTGCCATCAAAATACATTTTGCTCCACAAATTAAGATCAAGATTTTTATGGAAGATCGTCTTTACACTATCCGTGATAATGAATGACATTGACAAGTTACCTTGTGCCTTACTGATGACAAAGATAAAGTAATAGCTTTACTTGAGGTTTTACTTTAACTTCTGCCATGACAAAATTGTTTGATAGAAAGATGTAACTACCTAGCTACAGTGGCTTGCGAAAGTATTCACCCCCCTTGGTATTTTTCCTATTTTGTTGCCTTACAACCTGGAATTAAAATATATTTTTGGGGGGTTTGTATCATTTTGATTTACACAACATGCCTACCACTTTGAAGATGCAAAATATGTTTTATTGTGAACAAACAAGAAATAAGACAAAAAAACAGAACTTGAGCGTGCATAACTATTCACCCCCCCCCAAAATCAATACTTTGTAGAGCCACCTTTTGCAGCAATTACAGCTGCAAGTCTCTTGGGGTATGTCTCTATAAGCTTGGCACATCTAGCCACTGGGATTTTTGCCCATTCTTCAAGGCAAAACTGCTCCATCTCCTTCAAGTTGGATTGGTTCCGCTGGTGTACAGCAATCTTTAAGTCATACCACAGATTCTCAATTGGATTGAGGTCTGGGCTTTGACTAAGCCATTCCAAGCCATTTCAATGTTTCCCCTTAAACCACTCAAGTGTTGCTTTAGCAGTATGCTTAGGGTCATTGTCCTGCTGGAAGGTGAACCTCCGTCCCGTTTCCCAGTCCCTGCCGATGAAAAACATCCCCACAGCATGATGCTGTTCTCGGGGTGATGAGAGGTGTTGGGTTTGCGCCAGACATAGCGTTTTCCTTGATGGCAAAAAAGCTCAATTTTAGTCTCATCTGACCAGAGTACCTTCTTCCATATGTTTGGGGAGTCTCCCACATGCCTTTTGGCGAATACCAAACGTGTTTGCTTATTCTTTTCTTTAAACAATGGCTTTTTTTCTAGCCACTCTTCCGTAAAGCCCAGCTCTGTGGAGTGTACGGCTTAAAGTGGTCCTATGAACAGATACTCCAATCTCTGCTGTGGAGCTTTGCAGCTCCTTCAGGGTTATCTTTGGTCTCTTTGTTGCCTCTCTGATTAATGCCCTCCTTGCCTGGTCTGTGAGTTTTGGTGGGCGGCCCTCTCTTGGCAGGTTTGTTGTGGTGCCATATTCTTTCCATTTTTTAATAATGGATTTAATGGTGCTCCGTGGGATGTTCAAAGTTTCTGATATTTTTTAATAACCCAACCGTGATCTGTACATCTCCACAACTTTGTCCCTGACCTGTTTGGAGAGCTCCTTGGTCTTCATGGAGCCACTTGCTTGGTGGTGCCCCTTGCTTAGTGGTGTTGCAGACTCTGGGGCCTTTCAGAACAGGTGTATATATACTAAGATCATGTGACAGATCATGTGACACTTAGATTGCACACAGGTGGACTTATTTAACTAATTATGTGACTTCTGAAGGTAATTGGTTGCACCAGATCTTATTTAGGGGCTTCATAGCAAAGGGGGTGAATACATATGCACGCATCACCTTTCCGTTATTTATTTTTTAGAATTCTTTGAAGCAAGTTATTTTTTTCATTCTACTTCACCAATTTGGATTATTTTGTGTATGTCCATTACATGAAATCCAAATAAAAATCAATTTAAATTACAGGTTGTAATGCAACAAAATAGGAAAAACGCCAAGGGGGATGAATACTTTTGCAAGGCACTGTACACAATGAGTGAAGGCTCAGTTAGCATCGGTGTTGCCTGCTCCAGTGTGTCCTTGATCTTTCAGTGTCAACAGTGTCTTCTCAAAACAGGACAGAGGACCAAACATGACACCAGACATTGAGGCAAACTGAGAGCCTCTACATTTGGCTGAGTAAATGGAAGGAGTAAATACAGGAAAGAGTAAATACAGGTTTTGTACAGGAAGGAAGCCAAGTTGAACTGATTGACCTGTAGTGTTAGTACAGCGGTTTGTGGATGGGAGAGATTGAATGGGATTAGGACATCCAGCTGCAGTGTGTGCATTTGTGTGTGTGTGTGTGTGTGTGTGTGTGTGTGTGTGTGTTACAAGAGGGAGAGAAATAGGTCAATAAAACTCAACTATGAAGTTTGACAAACAATAAGATATTTTAGAGAAGCTGTTATTTAGTGTAATTGAGGACGAACATACTCTTGTCTTGGTTGCAGACTCCGTAATGCACAGATTTTCACCTTTATTTTCTACCTCTCCTCATACTCTCTCAATTTTCTTCAAAGACGTCAGCTGTTCGTATCAATGGATTAATGCTAAAATAAATACATCTATGCTTTTTTTATTGAGTGCTCCAACTCCTTTCTACCTCAAATGAGTCATTTTGAAAATGTTTCTTGCTAAGCCCTTCACATGATTTTTGTCATTGTTGTTGAGCACCCCTCCTTTCCTATGAAGTGACATTGGAATGCGAGGAGCGTTTCAGGAGGTCCAAGCCTGACTTTTGAAGGGTGTTTTCTTTTCTTTTCTTTTCTCATAGTCGGCTTAGACAAAGGCCCCCGTCCAGAAACAATCCCCAGGCTCTACAAGGCAGGTAGATGGGAATAACCAATATGTTCCTCCTAGGTAGCCTGTCTGAGGGAAGGGTGGAGCTACAACCATTTTGTTTCTCTCAGCTAGCCTATCTGAGGGTAAGGTGGAGCTACAACCATTTTGTTTCTCTCAGCTAGCCTATCTGAGGGTAAGGTGGAGCTACAACCATTTTGTTTCTCTCAGCTAGCCTATCTGAGGGTAAGGTGGAGCTACAACCATTTTGTTTCTCTCAGCTAGCCTATCTGAGGGTAAGGTGGAGCTACAACCGGTCACACTTTATTTGGATAGTCCATCTTTAGATGCTCTAGATGGTCATACTATCAACAAACTATCTGTTGATAAGCAACTGCTTGCTAAGGTTAGGGTTAGGTTTAGAATAAGGGTTAAGTTTAGGGTTAGGATAAGGTTGGGGTTAGTGTTAGGGTTAGTAGATTGTTCGTTGAAATGTTACTAATAGTCTGTATGAAATGTTACTAATGCCAAGTGTGCAAAGCTGTCATCAAGGCAAAGGGTGGCTATTTGAAGAATCTCAAATATAAAATATATTTGTTTTACACTTTTTTGGTTACTACATGATTCCATATGTGTTATTTCATAGTTTTGATGTCTTCACTATTATTCTACAACGTAGAAAATAGTAAAAATAGAAAGAGAAAGAAAAACCCTTAATAAGTAGGTGTTCTAAAACGTATGACCGGTAGTGTACATGAAGTGCCCTAGGGATTAGTTCTGGAGCCAACATCCTTTAGTTCTGGAGCCAACACCATTTAGTTCTGGAGCCAACACCATTTAGTTCTGGAGCCAACATCCTTTAGTTCTGGCGCCAAACTCCTTTAGTTTTGGAGCCAAAACCCTTTAGTCCTGGAGCCAAAACCCTGCATAGATTGTTCAGCCCTTGTGCTCAGCCTCCTGACATGACATATTTTTGGTGTTCTCCAGACCAGTTTCTTGTCTCCTATCTGCAATCTAATGAGTACAATGTTGAAACTTGTTCATGTGTTAACATGTTAAAATATGGCAATGTGTTCAGTGACATGGATATAAAATGTATTCCCGAGCATTAACCACTTGCCATCTCATTTCCTACTCTCCTCAAGCTCAATGAACTGTTCAACCACGCTGAGTCATCTACCATTAGTGTCAGTGTCTGGAATCCTCTCCTCTTTTACAGCTGGAGCAGTCGACGGTGCAGGTGACCCACCAGGGCCGGCGGGAGCTGCTGGAGGACGCCTGCCACTTGTACACGCGCAAGCGCCGCGTGCTCATCCCCGAGGACCTCAAGCACATCATCGTGGATGACCAGCATGGCCTGCTCTACTGCTATGTGCCCAAGGTGGCCTGCACCAACTGGAAGCGAGTCCTCATGGTCCTGACAGGCGCCGCTGGCCCCCACCGCGACCCCCTCGCCATCCCCGCCAATGAGGCCCACGTGCCGGGCAACCTGCGCACCCTCTCTGAGTACTCCACCTCTCAGATCAACCATCGGCTGCGCTCCTACCTGAAGTTCGTGTTTGTGCGCGAGCCCTTCGAGCGGCTCGTTTCGGCTTACCGCAACAAGTTCACGCGCAGCTACAACACAGCCTTCCACAAGCGCTACGGCACCAAGATAATCCGCCGGCACCGGCCTGACCCGCAGGCCGAGGCGCTGGAGCGGGGAGACGATGTCTCCTTCGAGGAGTTTGTGTACTACCTGGTGGACCCGGGCACGCAGCGCGAGGAGCCGTTCAACGAGCACTGGGAGCGCGTGCACTCTCTGTGCCACCCCTGCCTCATCCACTACGACGTGGTGGGCAAGTACGAAACGCTGGAGCAGGACTCCCGCTACGTGCTGCAGCTGGCAGGTGTGGAGGGCCAGGTGACTTTCCCCGCCTCGGCCAAGAACACCAGGACTACGGGAGACATGGCCGCTCAGTTCTTCCACAACATCAGCCCCTTCTATCAGAAGAAGTTGTACAACCTCTACCACATGGACTTCCTGCTATTCAACTACTCCACACCGGAGTACCTGAAGTTTTAATGAAGTTACGCTTCGTAGGAGGAGCCTTAGTTTGAACCATCTGTCATAAGCACGACGTAGTGTAGTTGTAAGCCTGACATCGTGCCCGGCCGCTTGAAGCAGTCAAATCTCGTACAGCTGATGTCAGCTGTCCTGACTGCTTTTAACAGCTGTTGCTTATAACAACATTACGTATAACCTATGACAGAGGGTTCAAAAGAAGTGGTACAGACATTTTTTAACATGGGTCCCGGGACTCTTCAAAGCACAGTAATGCTTGTTACTGAGAGGACTAACCTGGTGAAATGTAAGGAACTAACTAAAGATATCTTTCATATCAAAGGTAAGAGTGGCTTTAAGATGAGACAACGGGGAATGGACCCTTAAGATGAAGATGTTGCCTAAACTAGGCAAAATACTTTGTACTGTAACAATGAGCCAATGGAGATTAAACTGTTGCCTCTGTATGTGTAAAATGCACCTATAGTGCACATGAACTCAAAATGACCAAACTCTGACACCACCAACAAACTTTGGTTACCATTCTTTTATTGTGTTTTTATTTTTGTCACCACCAGTGTTCCATTCTACAGCCAGACTAAGAGGAATGCAAGCTGTCTGAAGTAATAGGGGCGCTGAAAGTCTCTATTTGTGCCTTATGACTTAAAACTGTATGACATCCTTTGGAAATGTGACTGACATCAGTGTCTTCCTTATACAGTAGAGAGTTGACTCTCATTGGACGATTTATTTATTGTGATATTTGTGTCCCAATGTCAACAAACTGCAGATAGACCTTAGGAATAACTACCATAAACTCAAATAAACACATTTAAGCAGTTTTTGTGTGTCTGTGTCTGGAATGCTGGCGTAGCAGTCAACACAAAGGGTAAGAATCCAGCTGTGCAATACGTTGAATTTACTGTGTATGAATGAAATATTGAGGTCAAATCATGCGGTTTTATAGGTCCTGTGAACGACGGTATGAGAAAAGAGCACTTTCACTGCACTCAAAACAGAGTTGTGTCCAATTTTATATGCAAGATTAACTATCATGGTAGGCAATAGTATTATCAGTCTTGATGTCAATACTTTTCACATTATGCTAGTACCAACAGTGACCCTCCTGGAGGCTTGGAGCCCTGTCTGATAAAGTGTACCTAAGACAAGGCCCCAATATGGGGCTTAAAGGGATAGTTCAGTGACATTACATTTGTTGTCAGTGGCTAGTTTAACAAAACCAAAAGTATGGAATGCAGTCAGTCACTCCTTGTCCATAAACCGCTTTCAAGGTAAAGAAACAAATATCGTAATATGTAATTTTGTCAAACTATCCCTTTAAGCAAAGGTCTAGCCATTTGTCACAGGCTTCACTCAATCTGGATACCTGTCATGTTCTCTGACACAAGGTCAACACGGCACTTCTACAGTATGTGCTCCACAGCCGAGACACGAACCTTGACCCCGACACGGTTCTATCCCTACAGCACCAGCATCGCTTTATGAAATCTGTGTGGATGAAGCTGACGTTTTACCGTGTGTGTGTGCAAAACAACTGTTGGGGTGTTCAGCACAAGTATTTATGTCCCACATTCTGTAGCAGAAGGTATTTATGTCCCCCGTAGCAGCATAGGTATTTATGCCCCCTCCTTCCTCCCTCCCTAGCAGAAGTGGAATGGAAGGTGATTTTTAGATCAGTGATTCTGCGCCGCGCCCCACTTAGAGCTGAGATTGTCTAGTAGTTATTTCCCATCATGCACTGTGTGCCGTGGTGTTGAAATGCAGGGTTGCCACGTGTGTTTGAATGTTGCTGGTGGTGAGGTCACATTTTATTGATCTGTTTTGTAAAATCACATGACATGCATTGATTGTACTGTAAGATATGTGGGGTCATAAAAGACCGGCATTGTATGTGAATGGTTTTATTCCAACAATGGAACACATTCATACAAATCGGGTTACTAAAACCACTTGCTCTCTAGGTATAATCTGACTATTGTAAACACAGTAGCATACATATTAAGTCATGTGTCCTGTACAATTGAAAATATGATTCTAACAATTGACATCTTTGGTGTAAGTTATGTTTGTGTAATTGCAGAGCAGCAAAGATGATTTGCCTGTTTTTAAAAGTGTATATTAATTGACTTAAAAGGCCCCATTTATTTGAAGAGATAAGCATAACACTTTATGCACAAACAAAATTACAACAAAATGTGGGCAACAGTGGTACACTATGTGTTAGATACATTGATACAAACATTCACTTTCAAAGTAATTCACTGCAGCAGACTAATTGTCGATTTAAGCAACATTGCTGATGTCATTACTTGACTAATAATAAGAAAACAAATACAGCACACGACTCCTGTAGTTTGTACAGTAATGGTTTGAAGGCACAAATTAAAATAGCAGTGGTCGATCATTGAAATTGTGACACTGGATTAACCCCATTTCATCTATTGGTTTATAGTGTGTATATCCCGTGAGTGCAGTAGTACATTTGTGACTAAACTCACAAGTGAAACCATTTTTGAGCATGAGGATAAATGTATAGACAGTCAACAAACAAACAAGCGCAGATAATACTATTGCTTCAGTACAGTGCATTTGCCATTTTACCATTAAAGCATTTACAGACATCAGAGGACTTCAACAGGTACTGGAGCTTCTATGTGGTTCTTGAAAGCCTGTTGAGCTACAGTATACAGGTAGTCCCTTAGCAGCATTCATTTATTAAGCCCTGTTTATACCTGGTTCTAACATGCAGCCTTTTCCCTGATGTTGTCCACATTCTGATTGTGGCCAAATTGTGATCAGATCTTATAAGTGTAAACGGAGAAAATGAGGATGAAGGATGCATGTTAACTGCAGATATAAACAGGGCTTCTGTGGAGCCTAGAGACGGTATGTGAAGTGAAGGTTGGTGGTTGTCGGAAGGCCTGTGAAACTACAGTGTGTACGCCACGTTGTTGAATGTTAACTTCAGTCGCACTAGACATGGTGCGCCGGTATAGATGGACACTGAAATCCAGATTATATATATATCTCACTCTCACTCACAGTGGTACAGTGGGGAAAAAAGTATTTAGTCAGCCACCAATTGTGCAAGTTCTCCCACTTAAAAAGATGAGAGAGGCCTGTAATTTTCATCATAGGTACACGTCAACTATGACAGACAAAATGAGAAAAAAAAATCCTGAAAATCACATTGTAGGATTTTTAATGAATTTATTTGCAAATTATGGTGGAAAATAAGTATTTGGTCAATAACAAAAGTTTCTCAATACTTTGTTATATACCCTTTGTTGGCAATGACACAGGTCAAATGTTTTCTGTAAGTCTTCACAAGGTTTTCACACACTGTTGCTGGTATTTTGGCCCATTCCTCCATGCAAATCTCCTCTAGAGCAGTGATGTTTTGGGGCTGTCGCTGGGCAACACGGACTTTCAACTCCCTCCAAAGATTTTCTATGGGGTTGAGATCTGGAGACTGGCTAGGCCACTCCAGGACCTTGAAATGCTTCTTACGAAGCCACTCCTTCGTTGCCCGGGCGGTGTGTTTGGGATCATTGTCATGCTGAAAGACCCAGCCACGTTTCATCTTCAATACCCTTGCTGATGGAAGGAGGTTTTCACTCAAAATCTCACGATACATGGCCCCATTCATTCTTTCCTTTACACGGATCAGTCGTCCTGGTCCCTTTGCAGAAAAACAGCCCCAAAGCATGATGTTTCCACCCCCATGCTTCACAGTAGGTATGGTGTTCTTTGGATGCAACTCAGCATTCTTTGTCCTCCAAACACGACGAGTTGAGTTTTTACCAAAAAGTAATATTTTGGTTTCATCTGACCATATGACATTCTCCCAATCCTCTTCTGGATCATCTAAATGCACTCTAGCAAACTTCAGACGGGCCTGGACATGTACTGGCTTAAGCAGGGGGACACGTCTGGCACTGCAGGATTTGAGTCCCTGGCGGCGTAGTGTGTTACTGATGGTAGGCTTTGTTACTTTGGTCCCAGCTCTCTGCAGGTCATTCACTAGGTCCCCCCGTGTGGTTCTGGGATTTTTGCTCACCGTTCTTGTGATCATTTTGACCCCACGGGGTGTGATCTTGCGTAGAGCCCCAGATCGAGGGAGATTATCAGTGGTCTTGTATGTCTTCCATTTCCTAATAATTGCTCCCACAGTTGATTTCTTCAAACCAAGCTGCTTACCTATTGCAGATTCAGTCTTCCCAGCCTGGTGAAGGTCTACAATTTTGTTTCTGGTGTCCTTTGACAGCTCTTTGGTCTTGGCCATAGTGGAGTTTGGAGTGTGACTGTTTGAGGTTGTGAACAGGTGCCTTTTATACTGATAACAAGTTCAAACAGGTGCCATTAATACAGGTAACGAGTGGAGGACAGAGGAGCCTCTTAAAGAAGAAGTTACAGGTCTGTGAGAGCCAGAAATCTTGCTTGTTTGTAGATGACCAAATACTTATTTTCCACCATAATTTGCAAATAAATTCATAAAAAATCCTACAATGTGATTTTTCTCATTTTGTCTGTCATAGTTGACGTGTACCTATGATGAAAATTACAGGCCTCTCTCATCTTTTTAAGTGGGAGAACTTGCACAATTGGTGGCTGACTAAATACATTTTTTCCCCACTGTATATGACCTGAACAGAGCTCCTTATGGGTGAAAATAACCACTTATAATACGTCTCAATAAGTGACATATAACTACAATAGTTAAATGTCACTATTTTCACATATTGAAATGAGACCATGTTGGACAGAAATAGGCTGATGGATTAGGGACCAAGAGAGCATGCCCTTCCTTCTCTTAGACCCCCTTCATCCCAGAGGAAGTGGCCAATAGAACGGCCCTGAAGCTCAGGGCCAGGAAGCCGGTCCCCAACAGATCCCCCAGAGCCGTGAGGTACGGGATGGAGTAGTTGTCCGGGTCCAGCCCCTGCCGCCACATCCAGCACACCATCAGGTCAGCCACGTACAGCAGAATCACAACCTGTGAATCAGTCGACAGCACGATGAGTAACCCACTAGTGCAGGTAACTGAGGGAAGTTGGACAGTGCAGAAGCTGTAATAAAATGTCCTTTCACCCTGTGTAAGATGTATACGTCATGTTCAATAACTCCTCCTTTATACTGTCTAGTAACATTCCATTAGTGTGTAGATTACTACCACATTGTAAAAATAAGTTGAGGTAATGTGAACAATAAACATTAAGGGCAAAAATGTATACATGGTTCACACTGCTAGTATACATTTATTTTTCATTTTCAAGTATCTACAAAGTTGCTAATGACACCACAGGTCATATCAACTCTACTGAAAAATATTGTTTCATCTGATAAGTAGCAGGACTAAAACACTGGGCTGGTGTTCTACAGACGTATCAGTCTATTGGTCTGCATTTTTCAGCGATGTGTGGTTTGAATTGCAGCGCTGGAGTTTGACAAGAGGGCTGAAAACAGTCGATATTTTATTAACATTTCTACTAAGGCCGTTGTTTATATCGGCAACGTGATAAGGTCGTCCAAATGGCTCTCGTAGTGTAAAACTATGATTTACTCGACCCAAACCCTCAATGTGTGAGATCCAAACAAAAGAGAGGCATAGTGAAAAGGAACATCCATCCGTGAAATTTACATGAACTTTCACTTCATTTTTCACAAGGTTCACAGGTTTATGGCAATACAGACTTCCTACTTTCTTTTTGCAGTGTGTCACTATGGAATAACTAGGTTAAATGAAATTCTATAGAATAAAATACTATAGCATAGAAGTGTCAAACTCATTTTTCCCCAGGAGCCACATTCGGTCTTCACCGAGGTCAATAATTTTTTACAAATTAATGTTTCACTATTTGTCACCTCTTACAGTAGTAGCGGTACAGAGTGACATGTCTGTGGTACATATACATTTGACCTCTGACCTGTAGCAGGGCGGCACACAGGTAAAGGCAGACAAAGGCAGGCGTGAGGGCGCCATGGCCGCCATTCAGTAAGTGGATGGTGTAGAGGAAGAACAGGTGACCCGGAACCACCAGGAAGACCAGAACCCTCGCTGACTTGGAGTTGACCCCTGTTGATGTAAACAGGAGACTTAGAGGACATCTTAACACTAAGTAAGTCGAAAATAAGCTTCCAAAAGTGAACCACCCTTTTAATGTCTAGGAGGAAAAGTACAAGAGAGGGCAGGGTAATGTCGACTGGCGACTCCAAGGGTTAGTAATATTATGTGTAGATGTGTGCAGTGTTCATTTGACCCCTCTGCTTGTTTTTGTTTCTTTTAAGTTTGTTTGACTGGTTAGCTGAGGAGCTGAAGGTCAGGCAGGGGTCAGGGCAGTGTTGTGAAGAACAGGCAAGGGTCAGGGCAGTGTTGTGAAAGTCAGGCAAAGACAGTGTTGTGAGCTGAAGGTCAGGCAAGGGTCAGGGCAGTGTTGTGAGCTGAAGGTCAGGCAAGGGTCAGGGCAGTGTTGTGAAGGTCAGGCAAGGGCAGTGTTGTGAGCTGAAGGTCAGGCAAGGGTCAGGGCAGTGTTGTGAGCTGAAGGTCAGGCAAGGGTCAGGGCAGTGTTGTGAGTTGAAGGTCAGGCAAGGGTCAGGGCAGTGTTGTGAGCTGAAGGTCAGGCAAGGGTCAGGGCAGTGTTGTGAAGAACAGGCAAGGGTCAGGGCAGTGTTGTGAAGGTCAGGCAAAGACAGTGTTGTGAGCTGAAGGTCAGGCAAGGGTCAGGGCAGTGTTGTGAAGTTCAGGCAAAGACAGTGTTGTGAGCTGAAGGTCAGGCAAGGGTCAGGGCAGTGTTGTGAAGTTCAGGCAAAGACAGTGTTGTGAGCTGAAGGTCAGGCAGGGGTCAGGGCAGTGTTGTGAGCTGAAGTTCAGGCAGGGGTCAGGGCAGTGTTGTGAGCTGAAGTTCAGGCAAGGGCAGTGTTGTGTCATCTTGTGTGTTTGTGTGCGTTTGAAGTTTAAGTGTGTTTTGACTGCTGACCTGAGGAGCAGAAGGTCAGGCAGGGGCCATGCCAGTGTTGTGTCATCTGGAAGGGCAGGGTCCCCGGCATACTCCAGTAGTGTAGGTAGGTGGAGATGCGGCTGGCCTGGATGGCTACCAGGTTACCTCCCACACCTGGTTGAAGGGAAGGAGCCGAACAATTGTTGAAATACCAGTAGGCATTTTTATAATCTTATTTTGTTGAAATTGTCTGTTGGTCCTCTGTAGCTCAGTTGGTAGAGCATGGTGCTTATAACACCAGGATAGTGGCTTTCTTTCCCGGGACCACCCATATGTAAAATGTATGCACACGACTGTAAGTCACTTTGGATAAAAGCGTCTGCTATATGGAATATTATATTTATTTATATATTTAGGCTTGAGCTTTGGGTTTTGTAAATTATAGGTATTTTCAAGGTTATGATGAAGCATCTTCAAGGTAATTTTAGTTAATTCTGTTTTTCTGCAACTCTTTATAGTTGATTATGTAGGGATTATTCTGCTGTGAATGTAAGGGCATATCTTTAAAGTGAGTTTGTGCACAGAGATAGCATGATCTTGTGTCCATTATTGGATGGAGGGAGAGCGAGAGGTAGAGAGGGACAGAAAGATTGATAGGCAGAAGGAAAGAGGGAAGAAGAGAGAACAACATTGACAGGGAAGCAGAGGGAGAAAGTTAGGAGAAGAATAAACAAGGAGAGAGGGAAAAGAGAGCGTGCGTAAGAGAGAGAAAACACAAATGAATGGCAATGCAAATGTACTTCCTGTCTTGAAATGCCGATTAAATGCGAAAAGCTTTGCTAGCGCTAGCTGAGGCTGGCAAAGATATAGAGGAAATCCTCCAAAGCAGACAGTACATAGTTGTCATTCTAAAGAGGTTTATGTAAACCTTATTGTTAGTCTTCTCCAGCGATGGTGGCTAGCAGTGGGTAACAAACATCCCTATACTAGTCTTAGGCTGCGTTTACACAGCCAGCCCAATTCTGATCTTTTTTTCACTAATTGGTCTTTTGACCAATCAGATCAGCTCTGAAAACGATCTGATGTGAAAATATCTGATGTGATTGGTCAAAAGACCAATTAGTGGAAAAAAAAGAACTGAATTGGGATACTTAGTCAGTTGCACAACTGAATGCATTCAACTGAAATGTGTCTTCCACATTTAACCCAACCCCTCTGAATCAGACATGTGCGGGGGGGCAGCCTTAATTGATGTCATCAGCGGCCAGTTGTTGTTGGGGGTTAACTGCCTTACTCAAGGGCAGAATGGCAGATTTCTTTCACCTTGGCAGCTCAGGGATTCAAACCAGCAATCTTTCAGTTACTGGCCCAACGCTCTTAACCGCTAGGCTACCTGCCGCCCTTGGGCTGCCTGTGTAAACGCAGCCATATTTACTGGAGATGTGGGAACTTCATTACATTCCTCTTTCCCCTCTGATGTTCTGACAAGGCTGCTGAGTGGTTTGAATTAGTGTCCCTTTATTTCTTAAGTTATAAACATCTCAGGAGGCTTCATCATCCTGGCTTTCAAGACTCTTGATGCATTTATAAGTGATGTTCTTCAACAATCAATGGGTATACATTTCAGGAGGCTGCTGAGGGGAGTACAGCTCATAAGAATGTCTGGAACGGAGCAAATGGAATGGCATTAAATAAATGGAAACCATGTGTTAGATGTATTTGATACCATCCCACTATTCCGCTCCAGCCATTACCACGAGCCCATCTTCCCCAATTAAGGTGCCACCAACCTCCCGGGGTATATATATCACTCATTTAAATTATTTAAAAATGGCTGGAAATCACAGACTAGTCCCCTCAAACTCAACTCTGGACCTTTTTTCATTGTTCCCCTCTAATCAGGGACTGATTTAGACCTGGGACACCAGGTGGGTGCAATTAATGATCAGGTAGAACAGAAACCCAACAGGCTCCTCTTAGGGTAAAAGTTCAATACCCCTGGACTAGGCCTTTAGTAACGTGTCACTGATGCAACATGTTTGGAGTCGACTTATGAAATTAATTTTGATGCCATTTAAAAACTTTCAAATGACATTAATTACATGAAGCCACTGTGCTATTGTAAACAGTCACACAAGTTATTGTAATTTACTGTCATACTTCAAAGACTGTTTAAATGTAACAGGACAAGATAACCACGCCTGTCTATTATTTTGTCAAACACGCCATCTATCTTTCCACCAAGACAACCAGATGTTGTCTTCTACAGAAAGGAGTACCAGATTTGACATTTAAGCTGACATCATGTTACAGTAGTGGACAGGCTAGGGATGAGAGGAACTTAATGCTCTTTTCATAACCACTTGAGACTAATAAAGCTATGGCTTCTCGACTCGTACCCATGTCCAAATGAGATTTCATGGTGGTTTTACAAGAGATATATTTAGCAATGGTAAGCAGCATTGGGGTACCCCTGTTTGTAGTTTTGTCCATTCAGCTGTTTCTCAGGTGGCTTCTTGAGGATATTTGTTAGTAAGGAGGAAGTAAGAACTCTTCAACATTTAAATAATATTGAGACAAAACTGAAATCTGAGCATTGAACTACACTCTTTGATCTGAGGAGTTAGGTTCGGTCCACTCACCGTTGATTACGGGGGTGAACACCGCCATGCCCTCAAAGTTCGGGTCGCTCACGGTCCTATCCAGTATCAGGCCCCCGATACTGTGGTTTACAAGGATACAATGGGACACAAACGTCACATAACATGTTCAAAGCTGTAGATTGTCTAAGGGGCATGTGATAAGTTCCACTATTTGTGTCCTCTCCATCTGCATTGATCTGAAAGGAGGATAGGTGAAAGTGATATGGTGCATGGAAGCCTGCTGAGCAGTAGCTGGCACCAGTCCAGTTCTGTCAAATCAGTTTGGATAAAGGTGACAAAAGGCCTTCAAGTTGCACTCTTAACTGTAAGTGAATATACTGCATATTTGTTTCTTCGAAATCTAGTTGGAAGCTTATGGATTGAACATTGATAGAATGTTGATAGCCCCAGGCCTTTACCTGCTGATGGACATGGCCACGATGACGGGCTGCCACCCAGACCTCAGCACCTCTCTGATTGGAGGAGAGCGCCGGGCGATGACCACCCACAGCGGAATGAGAACCAGGAAGAAGCCACACACCAGAGCAGGCAGGTACCACATCTCTGGAAGTCAGGAAAGGTAGCGAGTGTGTGTGAGAAAGTGGACACATTCCACATACACGTTTTCTATGCAGGTAGAAAAAATGTGTTACAACTGCAAGACATCCTGTATATCACTGTGTTGTACTGTGTTGGACATTTATTAAGCAGACCTGAAATAACTAGTAGTGAAAGAGACTGTGCTTCCCTCTACCTATGACACAATTGAATTTTCTATGAATTTTCTTTCGAGATTTGAGGATATTTCATTTGGAAACTAATTAGATTTTTTGACTACAAAAGGTCAATAAGATTTTTTAATGCCTGGAAAGAAAATGTAATGTAAAATGAAATGAAATAACGGTGAAGTTATGTAATCTATCTTGTTGGTGCTCATAGTCTAGTCCAGTTGGAAATAATGAGAGATTAGTTTCAAACCAACCCCTTCTACAGATTCTCAACCCTTCTCGTCAAAGAGTGCTTCATGGATTTAAATGGAACGGATTGGTGTAAGCCCATACACACACCAATCCAAAACTTTTAAATCCATGAGGGGGAGTGAACAAGTGGCCATTTTGGGGAGAAGTGTAGGGAATCAGAACCTAGGCATAATGAAAATAGCTCCACCAAGGCTTTACTCAATATTGCATCCAGTCCTAGGAATCATCAAGATGGGCCTAGACAGTGGTAGGGGTTAAGGTTCAGATAACATTTGGACCTATTAGACTTCAAACATCCTTTCGTACTTGTACAGTTTTTTCGACAGGACAGGAAGTCAAGGGGACAGACAATGACGGGTAGGAAGGGGACAGACAATGACGGGTAGGAAGGGGACAGACAATGACGGGTAGGAAGGGGACAGACAGCGGCTGTGTGGTCTAGGAGTCGAGTGTTACCGCTCGACCAGACTCCGGCACATTCCATTTATTCTGCGGTGAGTGTTCTGACCTTTAAACCGGAAGAGGAAGCTGCTGACCCCAGCCAGCAGAGAGAGGGTGATGAGGTCACCCAGGCTGGCAGCGATGGGCGTAGCCACGTTGTCAGGATTGATTCCCACCTTCCTGGAGCCAATGATCACTCCCACCATCACCAGGCCTACAGACACAGAGTGGACACACATACGATAGTCCACTTTAAATCTAGAATCATCTCATTGTAGATACATTTGTTGGATAAAAACCATATTGTCAAAAACAAAACTCAGGAATCCATAATAAATGGCAAAAATGCCCCAATTTAAAACATTCTTTGACATGCCCACTGATATTGCCATTTTAGTTTTGTACTCTTGGGCCATTTGAATAGATCTCTTTCAATATCTGATTTAGTTATGCTAAGAAACACTAACTTAATTAACATCTTAACGATGGAAGTGACACTACCTAACACTATTTACATTTGAGTCATTTAGCCGACACTCTTATCCAGAACGACTTACAGTAGTGAGTGCATACATTTCACACTTTCCCCCCCCTCCTCCATACTGGTCCCCCGTGGGAATCGAACCCACAACCCTGGCATTGCATGCGCCATGCTCTACAAATGAGCCACATGGGACTATCACTGGCTAGTGGCATGACAGCTATTATGGTTTTGTCTGGTTGACTTACCCAAGGACAGGGCAGCTACAAAGGCTGTGGTGACGCTGCTGGCACATAAAACAGCAGCCTGCAGCAGGTCTACATGACCCCTGGTCAATGCGCCCAACCCCACTGCAGCTACTGCAGCCAGGAAACCCACCACTGTGGCCTGGACCTATAGAGGGAGGGAGAGGGAGCAGGGGGAGAGAGGGAGCAGGCCGAGAGAGGGAGCAGAGCCAGAGGGAGCAGGTAGAGCGATGTAGAGGGAGGGAGATGTAGAGGGAGGGAGATGTAGAGGGAGGGAGATGTAGGGGGAGGGAGATGTAGAGGGAGGGAGATGTAGAGGGAGGGAGATGTAGGGGGAGGGAGATGTAGGGGGGAGGGAGGGGCGGGAGGTTGTAGAGGGAGGGAGATGTAGAGGGAGGGAGATGTAGGGGGAGGGAGTGTAGGGGGAGGGAGTGTAGGGGGAGGGAGATGTAGAGGGAGGGAGATGTAGGGGGAGGGAGATGTAGGGGGAGGGAGTGTAGGGGGAGGGAGATGTAGGGGCGGGAGGTGTAGAGGGAGGGAGATGTAGGGGCGGGAGGTGTAGAGGGAGGGAGGTGTAGAGGGAGGGAGATGTAGGGGGAGGGAGGGGCGGGAGGGAGGGAGGGGCATAGCACTGAGACATGTCATTGCCTTGATACAGTGAAACCCTCTTGTGCCCTCTGTTGGATTCACAGATAAACATACTTTATAATAAAGTGTGGTTGACATTACAGGCTAGCCACAGTGACAGTATTGGTTTGATAAAATGCCATTGGCTGTGTTTGCTGAAGGAGAGGTCAGTGTCACCTGAATGAGAGCCAGGTTGCTACACACCATCCTCCACTGCTGCTTTGGATCATCCAGCTGCCCAGTGTTCGCCTGATAGGAGCATAGACCATATATAAAGGAACGGGAGAAATATTTAACATTTAAATGGTGAGTGCATGTGTGTGTGCGCGTGAGTTTGTATATAAAATCACGTTTTAGTTTTAAATTTAAACATGTTGTGGCAGCGTTGAGTGTGTGTGTGTGTGTGTGTGTGTGCATGAATGCTTGTGTGTGTGTGTACACTTACTGCTGTAGACAGTCTGGATGCCAGTGTCATCTCCAGGTTGCCTTTCAGTCCCACCAGGGCTGGCACCAAGATAAACACCTCTGTGATCTCCTTAAACACTTCCCAATGCTGAAACATACGCAATGACCTCTTTAAACATGTCCCAGTTCTAAAACACTAATAATGATCTCCCTAAAAAGTTCCCAGGGCTGAAACGTACACAATCCCTCCCAACACTGCCAGCCTGGTTGCCAGATATACAGTACTCATACTTTAGCCAACTGCTTGGTCGTTGTCATGCCAAAACTGAAAGGAGTTGTCTCAAGCACAAACAGATCTGTCAACCAGAATAATTCAGTGAGGGGAAAAAGTATTTGATCCCCTGCTGATTTTGTACATTTGCCCACTGACAAAGAAATGATCAGTCTATAATTTTAATGGTAGGTTTATTTGAACAGCGAGAGACAGAATAACAACAAAAAAATCCAGAAAAACGCATGTCAAAAATGTTATCAATTGATTTGCATTTTAATGAGGGAAATAAGTATTTGACCCCTCTGCAAAACATGACTTAGTATTTGGTGGCAAAACCCTTGTTGGCAATCACAGAGGTCAGACGTTTCTTGTAGTTGGCCACCAGGTTTGCACACATCTGAGGAGGGATTTTGTCCCACTCCTCTTTGCAGATCTTCTCCAAGTCATTAAGGTTTCGAGGCTGACGTTTGGCAACTCGAACCTTCAGCTCCCTCCACAGATTTTCTATGGGATTAAGGTCTGGAGACTGGCTAGGCCACTCCAGGACCTTAATGTGCTTCTTCTTGAGCCACTCCTTTTTTGCCTTGGCCGTATGTTTTGGGTCATTGTCATGCTGGAATACCCATCCACGAGCCATTTTCAATGCCCTGGCTGAGGGAAGGAGGTTCTCACCCAAGATTTGACGGTACATGGCCCTGTCCATCGTCCCTTTGATAAGGTGAAGTTGTCCTGTCCCCTTAGCAGAAAAACACCCCCAAAGCGTAATGTTTCCACCTCCATGTTTGACGGTGGGTGTTCTTGGGGTGATAGGCAGCATTCCTCCTCCTCCAAACATGGTGAGTTGAGTTGATGCCAAACGCCTCCATTTTGGTCTCATCTGACCACAACACTTTCACCCAGTTCTCCTCTGAATCATTCAGATGTTCATTGGCAAACTTCAGATGGGCATGTATATGTGCTTTCTTGAACAGGGGGACCTTGCGGGCGCTGCAGGATTTCAGTCCTTCACGGCGTAGTGTGTTACCAATTGTTTTCTTGGTGACTATGGTCCCAGCTGCCTTGAGATCATTGACAAGATCCTCCCGTGTAGTTCTGGGCTGATTCCTCATCGTTCTCATGATCATTGCAACTCCACGAGGTGAGATCTTGCATGGAGCCCCAGGCCGAGGGAGATTGACAGTTCTTTTGTGTTTCTTCCATTTGCGAATAATCGCACCAACTGTTGTCACCTTCTCACCAAGCTGCTTGGCGATGGTCTTGTAGCCCATTCCAGCCTTGTGTAGGTCTACAATCTTGTCCCTGACATCCTTGGAGAGCTGTTTGGTCTTGTCCATGGTGGAGAGTTTGGAATCTGATTGATTGATTGCTTCTGTGGACAGGTGTCTTTTATACAGGTAACAAACTGAGATTAGGAGCACTCCCTTTAAGAGTGTGCTCCTAATCTCAGCTCGTTACCTGTATAAAAGACACCTGGGAGCCAGAAATCGTTCTGATTGAGAGGGGGTCAAATACTTATTTCCCTCATTAAAATGCAAATCAATTTATAACATTTTTGACATGGATTTTTTTGTTGTTATTCTGTCGCTCACTGTTCAAATAAACCTACCATTAAAATTATAGACTGATCATTTCTTTGTCAGTGGGCAAACATACAAAATCAGCAGGGGGTCAAATACTTTTTTCCCTCACTGTAACAGGACATGACTATTACCAGTATTACATAATTTCTTTATTCAGATTAAAACCATAATCTGTTGCTGTTGTCATCCCATTATAATCTAATAACAATAATCTGAATATTGAAATTATAGTGACACTAAAATAAGTCTTACTGTAAGTTAGTGGCATACAGTAACTCTTGTTGGTTACAGGTGAATGTTTTGAATCCAACCAGTGTTCATGGTTGATGTATTTCTTTTTTTCTGCACATGTTTTCATTTCCAATTCAAAAGGAACAAAATCCCTGAGCTTTCAAGGCTGACTTCAGTCAAAGTGACTACCCAACCCACCGACCTATTCCATTATTCAGGGGTCAGTCACGCCATGCGACTGCTGGGATCTTTCCAAAAGGTGAACCAGGGAAAGAGCTATTTTGCTGCTCCATTCTTATTTTCCTATATGTCATTTGTGCTCCTCTACTATCTATACACTATGCCTATCTGCATGTCTTATAGAATACACTTTGAAGGGCAAGCTACTGTCCTTATCAGTCAAGTGGGTCATCCATCTACAAAATGTTCCACAGAGTATAGCCACAAGTTAGCCTGAGTCCCAGTTCTGTTTGTGCTGTCTTGCCAACTCCTATCGAAAATGACATAGGAGTTTGCAAGACAGCACAAGCAGATCTGGGACTCGGGCTAAGCCTCAAGTGCATGATCTATTAGATATTGACATACATTTCAATTGGCTGCAGCACTCTCGTGTCGTAGATGCTCTTTCTAGCTGTCATTTACAGCCACTGTCAAGGGTATTCTGACTGCCCTTTGAAACGGCTTTGAAGTCCCCAGATAGATCCTGTCGTCTGTTTATCAGTCTCTCCTATAATTTTCCATACGATGCATCTCAAAGCACCTCCTACATTTAAATAGGCCTCTGTATCATTTCATGCTACATTTCCCACAGTTCTCAATGCTTTCTTGATAGTTTCTTCTTACATTTTCCATAGCAAACAGCTCGGCTCCTCTCGTGACACAAGCGTCATGTTGCCAGAGATGACTAATCAGCGATCACATCCCAAATGGCACCCTAGTCCCTATATAGTACACTACTTTTGACCAGAGTCCCTGGTCAAAAGTAGTGCACTATAAAGGGAATAGGGTGCCATTTTGGATGCATCCAACGTGCCCTTTGCTAACCCTCCCAGTCCCACCACTGGTTAGTTATCTACCAGGGAATGTGGGCAATCGCTGACACCTAAACCTCTGTGGCGCCACATCTCTCTCACCTGGTTTTTGCTTAGATTGAAGGGGATTTACTCAACACATCACAACATGCCCTGATAAATACAACACACACACAAATGCTATATGTACTTTACAATACACACAAAACACACACTCAAAGTTAGCCCATACTTGAACCACATCCATGACTATGCCCGCTGCCACCATGCCCAGGCCGGCCACCAGGTAGGGCAGTAGGATCTGAACCGCGATGAGCCAGGCACTCTCAGGCAGGTAGCCATGGTGGGAGCGGGTCAGTTTACAGGTGAAGCCCCTCAGCTTCTTCCCCTGGTAGCACAGCTCCAGCTCCAAATGGGTGACCACCATGGTCTCCGCAGGTCCCAGTTACCCCATCCCCACCTGGAAAGTCACGAGTGGGGGGTTAAGGGAGTGACAGCTGCCCCGTTTCACACCAACCTCCACCACTAATGTCTCATCTATGGTATGGTCTCCTCTTTGATAGTTTAGTTTAGCGAATGGAAGTTTATTCCGAGGAGGGAAGCCTGGTTTTGACGAAAAGGGGAGAGATTCCTTCGAGTCGACAGCAGCATGTCCCCAAACGTTCTTCAACCAATCCACTGAGCTCGACGTATTTCAGAGCCTTTACAATGACAGTTTGTTTGTCCTTCTGAATGAGAATGACATTAGAATGACAGCTTGTCCTTCTGTCTTTAGCCAACGTTGCTAAGATAACACAACAAATAAATTATGCCACTGGTTGAGGAGGCTGAAGAACGGCATGGACTGCCTTTGTCCTCTCTCGCGTGGAGGTCTCACACACACACACACACACACACACACACACACACACACACACACACACACAGACACAGACAGAGACACAGAGAGAGAGATACGGGTCCTCCAGATAGGGGTGTCTGCCAGGACTCTTCTGACACTCACCCGCCGCTGACAGACAGACACACACACTCCTCACGCTTCGCTCTTCAGTAGGCGAGCTGCCGATGGCCTCCGCTGGAAGCAGCCGGTGCGTTTGCCGCCGCCGGGCCTGAAAAACGCCCACGTCCTCTGGGACAAGGACAACCAGAAGGCTGCTAACTTTTTCTCTGCCTTCCCCAGCCGCTGCTCGTGATGCCTCTCTTCCTTCCTCTGCTCGTCCCACTGCCCTGTGTGAACGGCCTGGCTGGCCTGGAGTCCCTTCCTCATGTTGGGCCGGAGTCGTGATGTGGGGCGTTTGTTGGTGTGTCGCAGATGAGAAACGAGGTGATAATAGATGGTGACGGTCCGTGGTTCTAAGGCTCGTAAGGCGAAGGACTGCAGGGTGACATTGAGTGAGGATGATGTGTCCCGAGGCAAAGCGTTAAGAGTACCTGTCCCGCCGCTGGTAGGGGTTTCCTCTCCTGTGTGACGCAAACAGATTGGGTCCTGTTGGTGTTTCTGTGCGAGAGGGAGAGAAGGAGAGGGTGCTGCTGCCGTCTGTGCGAGCAGGGCTATCAGACTGAAACGGGTCTCTCTTTTTTTTATATCTCTCTTTTTGTTCTCTTTCTATTTTCTTTCTTTCTACCTTTCCCTCTGTCTCATGATAACTATCTTGTTCCTCTCTCTCCTCATCCTCAATGCCAGCACGTGTTGTACCTGACACACACACGTGGGACTAGCCTGGTCCCCTCTAATGGACATCTGTTCACCTTTCTGATTGGTGGGTCGACTGTCTGTCTCCCTCCATTTGCGTAGCATCTCCTGGATTTATGGGGTTTGGGCTCTTTCTACCTGTTAGTATTATTAGCCAGTCCCCCAAAATATTTGCCAAACACTGGAAGTGAAGTAAAAATCTATTGGTTCTTAATAATTCATGACCATGACATACATTTGAGACCTACATGCTGTTAAGGAAAGGAGAGAGGGAACCGAACTCAGCTCTTTAATGCTCCTTGTCCAATAGCCCCCACCCCTCCACACACACTATTTTTATCTATCCCTTCCAAGGGATTAGGTATGCACAATAACACATTGACCATGACTCAGCTGAAAGGCGTCCCTGAGACGTGATGTGAACAGTCTGTTCCTCCCTGCTCCCCCCACTGACACCATGTTGGAATTCAGAAGCCCCATTTATACCTGCTTCTAACTTGTGTCCTTTGTCCTGATCTTGTCAACATTCTGATTGTCTACACCCGTCTAAAAATGTGGACACAATCAAAATACACATTGTGATCAGATCATCCCTGCCCACCTCCAGAGGTAGTCAGACACGCATTGTGTCTGGATATCTTACAAGTGTAGACAGATCTGGACAGAGAAACCATTTAAATCATCATCATTCCACTCTCTAAAATCATTGACATGTGGCATTATTGAATAGTTACATCAATAAGTGTCTTACAATAAATAAATATTACTTTCCAAGAATAGTTGTGAAATAATTTGCATAAAGGAAGGAAGGAGGAAATCTGGTCACAATGCAGACACAATGGATGGATAACAGACACATTTTAATACCATTAGTAGCAGTGGAGGCTGCTGAGGGGAGGACGGCTCATAATAACGGCTGGAAAGGAGCTAATGGAATGGCATCAAACGCATGGAACCCTTGTGTTTGATGTATTTGATACCATTCCATCTATTCCGCTCCAGCCATTACCACGAGCCTGTCCTCCCCAATTTAGGTGCCACCAACCTCCTGTGATGAGTAGACATTTCTGGGAATGTGGGCACAATCAGAATGTAGACAAGATCAGGACATAGGACCCATGTTAGCACCAGGTAAAAACGAAGCTAGACTGTAAATTCAGGGTTTAGAGGACTATGGGACACAGTTATAATTGAGGGATTATTTGTTGCTTATACCCACAAGATAATGGCAATAAAAATACATTACTTAATTAATAATTATATTTATATGATAATGCCTGCTCTGATTAGCCTGGAAAATTTAAAAAGTTTTCCAATTGTTGACCTGAAATGCCAAAATTCCTTCCTCTATGGCCCTGTACACACACAGGTTGACAGAGGATGGCTTTCACTTCAGCAGTAATAAATTCATGAACTTCTTTGAGGAAAAGATCATGACCATTAGAAAGCAAATTACGGACTCCTCTTTGAATCTGCGTATTCCTCCAGGGCTTAGCTGTCCTGGATCTGCACAGCTCTGCGAGGGCCTGGGATCGGGAGAGACACTTAAGTGTTTTAGTACTATATCTCTTGACACAATGATGAAAATAATCATGGCCTCTAAACCTTCAAGCTGCATACTGGATCCTATTCCTACTAAACTGCTGAAGGAGCTGCTTCCTGTGCTTGGCCCTCCTATGTTGAACATAATAAACAGCTCTCTATCCACCGGATGTGTACCAAACTCACTAAAAGTGGCAGTGATAAAGCCTCTCTTGAAAAAGCCAAACCTTGACCCGGAAAATATAAAAAACTATCGGCCTATATCGAATCTTCCATTCCTCTCAAAAATTTTAGAAAAAGCTGTTGCGCAGCAACTCACTGCCTTTCTGAAGACAAACAATGTATACGAAATGCTTCAGTCTGGTTTTAGACCCCATCATAGCACTGAGACTGCACTTGTGAAGGTGGTAAATGACCTTTTAATGGCATCAGACCGAGGCTCTGCATCTGTCCTCGTGCTACTAGACCTTAGTGCTGCCTTTGACACCATCGATCACCACATTCTTTTGGAGAGACTGGAAACCCAAATTGATCTACACGGACAAGTTCTGGCCTGGTTTAGATCTTACCTGTCGGAAAGATATCAGTTTGTCTCTGTGAATGGTCTGTCCTCCGACAAATCAACTGTACATTTCGGTGTTCCTCAAGGTTCCGTTTTAGGACCACTATTGTTTTCACTATATATTTTACCTCTTGGGGATGTTATTCGAAAACATAATGTTAACTTTCACTGCTATGCGGATGACACACAGCTGTACATTTCAATGAAACATGGTGAAGCCCCAAAATTGCCCTCGCTAGAAGCCTGTGTTTCAGACATAAGGAAGTGGATGGCTGAAAACGTTCTACTTTTAAACTCGGACAAAACAGAGATGCTTGTTCTAGGTCCCAAGAAACAAAGAGATCTTCTGTTAAATCTGACAATCCATCTTGATGGTTGTAAAGTCGTCTCAAATAAAACTGTGAAGGACCTCGGCGTTACTCTTGACCCTGATCTCTCTTTTGACGAACATATCAAGACTGTTTCAAGGACAGCTTTTTTCCATCTACGTAACATTGCAAAAATCAGAAATTTTCTGTCCAAAAATGATGCAGAAAAATTAATCCATGCATTTGTTACTTCTAGGTTAGACTACTGCAATGCTCTACTTTCCGGCTACCCGGATAAAGCACTAAATAAACTTCAGTTAGTGCTAAATACGGCTGCTAGAATCCTGACTAGAACCAAGAAATTTGATCATATTACTCCAGTGCTAGCTTCCCTACACTGGCTTCCTGTTAAGGCAAGGGCTGATTTCAAGGTTTTACTGTTAACCTATAAAGCGTTACATGGGCTTGCTCCTACCTATCTTTCCGAGTTGGTCCTGCCGTACATACCAATACGTACGCTACGGTCACAAGACGCAGGCCTCCTAATTGTCCCTAGAATTTCTAAGCAAACAGCGGGAGGCAGGGCTTTCTCCTATAGATCTCCATTTTTATGGAACAGTCTGCCTACCCATGTGAGAGACGCAGACTCGGTCTCAACCTTTAAGTCTTTACTGAAGACTTATCTCTTCAGTAGGTCATATGATTGAGTGTAGTCTGGCCCAGGAGTGTGAAGGTGAACGGAAAGGCTCTGGAGCAACGAACAGCCCTTGCTGTCTCTGCCAGGCCGGTTCCCCTCTCTCCACTGGGGTTCTCTGCCTCTAACCCTGTTACAGGGGCTGAGTCACTGGCTTGCTGGTGCTCTTTCATGCCATCCCTAGGAGGGGTGCGTCACTTGAGTGGGTTGTTACTGACGTGATCTTCCTGTCTGGGTTGGCGCCCCCCCTTGGTTTGTGCTGTGGTGGAGACCTCTGTGGGCTATACTCGGCCTTGTCTCAGGATTGTAAGTTGGTGGTTGAGGATATCCCTCTAGTGGTGCGGGGGCTGTGCTTTGGCAGAGTGGGTGGGGTTATATCCTTCCTGTTTGGCCCTGTCCGGGGGTTTCTTCGGATGGGGCCACAGTGTCTCCGGACCGCTCCTGTCTCAGCCTCCAGTATTTATGCTGCAGTAGTTTATGTGTCGGGGGGCTGGGGTTAGTTGGTTTTACCTGGAGTACTTCTCCTGTCTTATCCAGTGTCCTGTGTGAATTTAAGTATGCTCTCTCTAATTCTCTCGTTCTCTCTTTCTCTCTGAGAACCTGAGCCCTAGGACCATACGTCAGGACTACCGGGCATGATGACACCTTGCTGTCCCCAGTCCGCCTGGCCTTGCTGCTATTCCAGTTTCAACTGTTCTGCCTGCGGTTACGAAACCCCTACCTGTCCCAGACCTGCTCTTTTCAACTCTTAATGATCGGCTATGAAAAGCCAACTGAGAGACCTGAGCCCTAGGACCATACGTCGGGACTACCGGCCGTGGTGACTCCTTGCTGTCCCCAGTCCGCCTGGCCTTGCTGCTATTCCAGTTTCAACTGTTCTGCCTGCGGTTATGGAACCCCTACCTGTCCCAGACCTGCTGTTTTCAACTCTTAATGATCGGCTATGAAAAGCCAACTGAGATTTATTCCTGATTATTATTTGACCATGCTTGTCACTTATGAACAATTTTGAACATCTTGGCATGGTTCTGTTATAATCTCCACCCGGCACAGCCAGAAGAGGACTGGCCACCCCTCATAGCCTGGTTCCTCTCTAGGTTTCTTCCTAGGTTTTGGCCTTTCTAGGGAGTTTTTCCTAGCCACCGTGCTTCTACACCTGCATTACTAGCTGTTTGGGGTTTTAGGCTGGGTTTCTGTACAGCACTTCGAGATATTAGCTGATGTAAGAAGGGCTATATAAAATAAAATTGATTGATTGATTGATTGTACAATTAATGTACAGCGCATTTGACACAATGATTGTGGTACAACTGCTATTTTTGTGATACATGGAAAGCTTGTCGGCACATAAATGTATACACACAACCATTGTGCAGTCTCCAGAGAGAAATGTAGCTGTCCACACTAACAGACCTCTGTCATCCTGTTGTGACAAGACTGACATGTTCCTTGTGATGGCGTGCCATTGAGGTCACTATGACCCCCTCAATGTCCCAACATCTCTCTTTCGCTGTTCAGTCACAGCTCGATCACAGCTCAGTAAACGCTGCATGTCAGCTCAATCCGAAATTACCTTTTAGTTTTAACGTGGATCTTCCGCGATACAGATTGAATCCAGCCCTTAGAATCCCTTCACCCACCTGTACACCATCCAGAACCATGCCTGCAGTTATCATCTTCAGCCCAACCACAAGGTACGGCGCCACCTCCTGTAGACAGATCCTCCTGGAGCTCTCTGTTGGACTTGTCTTTCTCCTCACTCATCTTATTATTAGTCCAGGACAGGGCAGGAGACCTCCACTGAAGATCATTCTTGGTGTGTGAGACAAACTGTCTAATACACGCAAGTATGCACAAACAAACACCCACACATTTGCTGCCAACCAGGATTCCTCCATGACCGTTTAAAAAATGTTCTTTAAACAGCCTGCCCTCTCCCTTGGATACAGTCCACCAAATACATTTGCATTAGCAATTTAACAATTGGAATATGTAAGAGGCAAAGACCGTAGACCAGACAAGTCATATTATAAACCTTTGTGATTTTAATACTTCTGGAAAACAAGTAAAACGGTATATTTACTAACTTGTTCCAGCTGTGATATGGAAATTATTCATAAAGTTCCATTGAATTGTCATCGAGTATTGTCCATGAAACCAACCTATTGTGTAGACTATTTCAAACAGTGTTTGTAGATTTACCAGTGTCGACCAACTGCTATAACGTAACGTGAATATTTGTTATTTCTAAGAGGGGATATAATTGTATTTCTCATCCATAAAAAAATAAATAAATGTTTTTCAAATGTATTTTATTTCGTAAGATATTGTGCTAACCAGCACTAAGAAATATTAGCGGGTTAATGAAATTTCAGAAGAACAATTCTACTTCTAATTCAGTCTAGTAGGGCATGTGCATTTCTGCCTCGTCTATCATTCACATTTAGTTGAGGAATTGGCTTAATCAGAAAGTAATCTCTCTCTCTCTCTCTCTCGCTCGCTCGCTCTCTCGCGTGTGTTTAGTACTCTATAGTGACAGCCTTGGTCTTCAGGTATTCGTTAAGAGCCTCTTGTCCTGTTGGAGAAAGCCAATGACGTTGAGACCGATATACATTTAATTTACATTCCTACAAAATACATTGCTGTGGTCTTTGGGCTTTTCACATTCTAGTAATTCTACTCCCACATGAAAAACTACTATAGTATACTATTGTATAAATACTATATAGTATTTACTGTAGTGTTTTTGCAGACCAAAGTTAACTATAGTATAAATACTGTAGTAAAATAAGACTGTAGTATATACTATAGTAATTACTGTAGTGTTTTTGCAGACTGTAGTAAACTATAGTATTTTTGCAGATATTATTGTAGTATTTACTATAGTGTTTTAGTTTTATTATCTTTAACATAGAAGTGGAGGCTTTCTCCTTGAGGAAACCTACTGGAGAAATACTAAGAGTACATTTTCCATAACCTGTAGGTAGGTAAAACTGGGGTCTGAACGGCGAATTCAGAGCTTCTACTCTTTTCTATAATGTGTAGGGAACACAATATGGTCTATACTTAGCATGTAGGTTTCTCACTTATGGGTGGCACAAATTGGGATATGGGGAGGGGAATCAGCAGGGTATATGCAAATTAAATACTGTAGTATTTACTATAGTTTAAAAAAGTGTAGTGTTTTTGCGGACTGTAGTGTTTTGCCGACATTACTGTAGTATTTACTACAGTTTTTTGGGGGGGGATAATACTGCAGTATTTACTTTAGTATTCTACAGTTTACTACAGAATTCTATAGTAAGTACTGTTGTATTCTATAGTAAACTGTAGTATTTTTCCATGTGGGCTTCTAGGATTAATGTAATGTAACCTGCTTGGAAACAATATGTCACAGAATCAGCAGGTCTTACCCAGGTCTTTGCCGAAGCCGGACTGCTTGAAGCCGCCGAAGGGAGCAGCTACGTCCGTCTTGTTGTAGGTGTTGACAAAGACGGTGCCGGCGTTGAGCTTCTCGCTGACGTACAGCGCCTTGCTGATGTCACGGGTGAACACGCCTGATGCCAGGCCATACTCAGTAGCATTGGCCCTCCGCAGAACCTCGTCCACATCCCTAAGAGAGAGAGAGAGGGATGAACAGAGAGGTTGAGAATGGTCGGAGGAGAGCTAGTCATAGGAGAAATGCGCGAGATGCCGACTCTGGTATGTACACTACCGGTCAAAAGTTTTAGAACACCTACTCATTCAAGGGTTTTTCTTTATTTTTACTATTTTCTACATTGTAGGATAATAGTGAAGACACCAAAACTATGAAATAACACATATGGAATCATGTAGTAACCAAAAAAGTGTTAAACAAATCAAAATATATTTTATATTTGAGATTCTTCAAATAGCCACCCTTTGCCTTGATGACAGCTTTGCACACTTGGCATTCTCTCAACCAGCTTCACCTGGAATGCTTTTCCAACAGTCTTGAAGGAGTTCCCACATATGCTGAGCACTTGTTGGCTGCTTTTCCTTCACTCTGCCATTCGACTCATCCCAAACCATCTCAATTTGGTTGAGGTCGGGGGATTGTGGAGGCCAGGTCATCTGATGCAGCACTCCATCACTCTCCTTCTTGGTCAAATAGCCCTTACACAGCCTGGAGGTGTGTTGGGTCATTGTCCTGTTGAACAACAAATTATAGTCCCACTAAGCCCAAACCAGATGGGATGGCGTATCGCTGCAGAATGCTGTGGTAGCCATGCTGGTTAAGTGTGCCTTGAATTCTAAATAAATCACAGACAGTGTCACCAGCAAAGTACCCCCACACCATAACACCTCCTCCTCCATGCTTTACGGTGAGAAATACACATGCAGAGATCATCCGTTCACCCACACCACGTCTCACAAAGAGACAGCGGTTGGAACCAAAAATCTCAAATTTGGACTCATCAGACCAAAGGACACATTTCCACCGGTCTAATGTCCATTGCTCGTGTTTCTAGGCCCAAGCAAGTCTCTTCTTATTATTGGTGTCCTTTAGTAGTGGTTTATTTGTAGCAATTCGACCATGAAGGCCTGATTCACACAGTTTCCTCTGAACAGTTGATGTTGAGATGTGTCTGTTTCTTGAACTATGTGAAGCATTTATTTGGGCTGCAATTTCTGAGGTTGGTAACTCTAATGAACTTATCCTCTGCAGCAGAGGTAACTCTGGGTCTTCCATTCCTGTGGTGGTCAGTTTCATCATAGCGCTTGATGGTTTTTGCGACTGCACTTGAAGAAACTTTCAAAGTTCTTGAAATGTTCCGTATTGACTGACCTTCATGTCTTAAAGTAATGATGGACTATTGTTTCTCTTTGCTTATTTGAGCTGTTCTTGCCATAATATGGACTTGGTCTTTACCAAATAGGGATATCTTCTGTATACCCCCCCTACCTTGTCACAACACAACTGATTGGCTCAAACACATTAAGAAGGAAATAAATCCCACAAATTAACTTTTAAGAAGGCACACCTGTTAATTTAAATGCATTCCAGGTGACTACCTCATGAAGCTGGTAGAGAGAATGCCAAGAGTCTGTAAAGCTGTCATCAAGGCAAAGGGTGGCTATTTGAAGAATCTCAAATATAAAATATATTTTGATTTGTTTAACACTTTCTTGGTTACTACATGATTCCATATGTGTTATTTCATAGTTCTGATTTCTTCACTATTATTCTACAATGTAGAAAATAGTAAAAATAAAGAAAAACCCTTGAATAATTAGGTGTTCTAAAACTTTTGACCGGTAGTGTATGTGTGCTGGGATCAGCTGAACCACACAGGCCACCCATCTGGCCATGCCATACACTGACCCGCTCTTGAACTTGGAGAGGATCATGACGGGGCCAAACGACTCCTCTATAGCGATGAACATGTGGTCCTGGACGTCGGTGAAGATGGTGGGCTCAAAGAAGAAACCTGGAGAGAGGTACCGCAGGGAAAGATATAGTAAACAACATCATTTTGTAGCTGATAGTCATCCCTTGAACTGAGAAATATTAACAACACAAATGGTCACTGTATGACATCCAATTCCATTTCTGAATGGACTGGAATTGGAGTGACATTTGCCCCTAACTCTGCCTCACAGCTAATATTAGTAAAATCTACAGAGCTATGAACTGAAAAAAGGTTAATGAGTCTAACCTGGGCGGGCGACCTGTTTGCCCCCACACACCAGAGTGGCGCCTTCCCTCACGCCTGTCTGGCAGTACTCCACCAGCTTGTCCAGGTGGGCCTTGTGGTTCTGGGGTCCGTGGTCTGTGGAGCGGTCCAGAGGATCTCCGATCTTCATCTTCTTAACCTCCTCCACCTGAGATAAGGTAGTTAGCGGATGGCTATGTTAGCATAACACTGTGAGATAAGGTAGATAGCGGATGGCTATGTTAGCATAACACTGTGAGATAAGGTAGATAGCGGATGGCTATGTTAGCATAACACTGTGAGATAAGGTAGTTAGCGGATGGCTATGTTAGCATAACACTGTGAGATAAGGAAGTGGATGGCCAAGTTAGCATAGCACTGTGAGATAAGGAAGAGGATGGCTAAGTTAGCAGAGCACTGTGAGATAAGGAAGAGGATGGCTAAGTTAACAGAGCACTGTAAGATAAGGTAGCGAGCGGTGGCTAAGTTAGCATAGCACTATGAGATAAGGTAGCGAGCGGTGGCTAAGTTAGTATAGCGCTGTGAGATAAGGTAGCGACCGGGTGGCTAAGTTAGCATAGCGCTGTGAGATAAGGTAGCGACCGGGTGGCTAAAATAATAATAATAATAATAATAATAATATGCCATTTAGCAGACGCTTTTATCCAAAGCGACTTACAGTCATGCGTGCATACATTTTTTTTGTGTGTATGTGTGGTCCCGGGGATCGAACCCACTACCTTAGTGTTACAAGCGCCGTGCTCTACCAGCTGAGCTGGTAGAGTTAGCATAGCGCTGAGAGATAAGGTAGCGAGCGGGTGGCTAAGTTAGCATAGCGCTGTGAGATAAGGTAGCAAGCGGGTGGCTAAGTTAGCATTGAGACACGTACCACTCTCTTGACATACTGGTCATGGATGTTCTCTTCCACAAAGAGTCTGCCTGCTGCAATGCAGTTCTCTCCCTTGTTGAAGAATACAGAGCTCATGCCCTAAAATACACAAATAAATACAGTGAAATTGACACCGTACAATATTCTGAAAAATGTATATCAAATATTAACATTTTGGTATTAGTGTTATGTAGTGACCAGCATTGAATTGAAGGCCCACTGACCATGCGCACGGCCTTGTCCATGTCACAGTCACTGAAGATGATGAGTGGAGATTTACCCCCCAGTTCTAGGGACACCTTCTTCACATTACTGACCGCACAGCTGGGATAAGGGCACACACAAACAGACACATACTGTACTACAGTGGTCACCAACCAGTCGATCGCAATAGACTGGTCCATCTCCAAGCCATTCCTAGTCGATCACAAAACATTTCTGTTAAAGCCTTGCATTCCTATTTTTTTATTTGTTGACGGTAGGTGCACTTGAGTCAGCAGCCCTAACGCCGAGAAGGCAAAGTGTTCCCATTTAGGGATTTTTTTATTATGCTAATTAGATTTTCACGGGGGCGCGGACATCGACCTTAGGTGGTTTTAAGTTACGTTAAAAAACAACATCTGAGCGGCTTAGAAAAGGTTGGTGACCACTGTTGTACTACATACACATAAAAACAGTATGCTATTATCGGCCAAAGTCATGGCCAACTACCCAGAGCCTAAAGTCATTACCTCTCTGGACTGAGGTTACCAAATTTTTTACATTTTAGTCATTTAGCAGACGCTCTTATCCAGAGCGACTTACAGTTAGTGAGTGCATACATTTTTTAAATTAAAAAATTAAAAATAATAATACTGGCCCCCCGTGGGAATCGAACCCACAACCCTGGCGTTGCAAGCGCCATGCTCTACCAACTGAGCTACACGGGACACAACAGTGACCGCTCACCTCTTCATGATGTGTTTCCCTATCTCAGTGGAGCCGGTAAAGCCAAGCTTCCGGACGTCCGGGTGGTCGGACAGACGCTGGCCCACCAGAGCACCTGACAGACAGCAGAAGAGGAACCAGCACACCGTCAGCGTCACAACAAAACCTTGCATCTCCTATAAGTCAACTTTTCAGGCATCCGGGAAAAAATGGTGCGCCTTCCCAGGTTCTCTATTGCAGGCAGTGAGAGGACAACCGAGATGCAGACAAAAACCAGGTGTGTTAATAAAAGATTGGCGCAACTCTTTCAATATGAATGTTTGTATGAAACAACGATCAAAAACAGAAAAGCATGTTTACCTGATCCAGGGAGGATGTTGATCACTCCCTTGGGGAATCCTGCCCTCGCTGCCAATTCAGCAAACTTCACCGCTGTCAATGGAGTCACCTAGGGACCATAGGAATATACACGCAACCAAAATGATTGAACATGCTAGCCTTTACGCAATTCATATACCTTGACAAATGCAGGTATCTCATCCATACTGTATCAAATGGATTGAGATCAGTTGTACCCCTGTAAAAGACTGCTTCTGTAACGTTATTGAAAGACACGCTAACAATCGTCAGAGAAGTTGGCTAAATCCCATAGGCCAATCAATCAAATGTATTATATGAAGCCCATTTTACATTAGCAGTTGTCACAAAGTGCTTTACAGATACCCAGCCTAAAACCCCAAAGAGCAAGCACCGCAGAGGGAAACGCAAGGTGACTAGGAAAAACTCCCTAGAAGGCTGGAATCTATGAAGAACCCTAGAGAGGAACTAGGCTCTGAGGGGTGGCCAGTCCTCTTCTGGCTGTACCGAGAACAGATTTAATAGTACATGTGGCCAGATCGCTTTTCAAGACATTCAAGTGGACCATGCTACCTAAATGCGTCATTGGAGAAGGGGTTGAAACCAGTGGAGGCTGCTGAGGGGAAGACGGCTCATAATAATGGCTGGAACGGAGCAAATGGAAAGACATCATACACATGGAAACCATGTGTTTGATGTATTTGATCCCATTCCACGAGTCATTCCTCCCCAATTAAGGTGCCACCAACCTCCTCTGGTTGAAACATTTTCTGTACAGTACTAGTGTCTGGACACCAGTGCACTGCCCCCTTGTGCACAGCACAGTACAGTATAGCACAGTACAGTACATTTTACAATATCACTTTGTGCCCTTCTTTAGTGAAAACAGATGAATGGGAGTGTGATGGTTAGCGGTACTGGGGTGCTCCTTACCTGGGCAGGTTTGAGGACCACAGTGTTACCAGCAGCCAGACAGGCAGCTGTTTTCCAGGCCAACATCATGAGAGGGTAGTTCCAGGGAATCACGATAGCACACACTCTGAGAGTTAAAATGACGAACATACTTATTCTCAAAATCTTGTTTTGACAAAAACATTTATTGGCTGTGTATTTGCATGTGGCTGGTGTATCTCACCCGATTGGTTCTTTCTTGGTGAAAGTAAGGTTGCGATTGGGCCGGGCCTGGTTGATGGGGATGGTGCAGCCCTGTAGAATGAGATAGTCTCTGATCATAAACAAACTTAATCATCAAACAAATCAAATCTAAGTTTATTGTTTGCATACAAAGTTAAGCGGCTGTTATAGCGAGTGCAGCGAAATGCTTGAGTTGCCAGTTCTTCAACAATGCAGTAGCATGTCAAACAAATCATTCAAAAGTCAAGAAAAATCTAGAAATATCAGAACGAATCCAAATGACAATCCAAATAACCCAGAAGAATAATTAGAAGCACCTTATAAAGTGAGTGTTATATTGCCTAATGAACATCTACACTGACTGTACAAAACATTAGGAATACCTGCTCTTTCCATGACATAGACTGACCAGGTGAATCCAGGTGAAAGCTATGATCCCTTATTGATGTCACTTGTTAAATCCACTTCAAATCAGTGTAGATGAAGGGAAGGAGACAGCTTAAAGAAGGATTTTTCAGCCTTGAGACATGGATTGTGTATGTGTGCCATTCAGAGGGTGAATGGGCAAGACAAAGGATTTAAGTGCCTTTGACCGGGGTATGGTAGTAGGTGTCAGGCGCACCGGTTTGTGTCAAGAACTGCAACGCTGCTGGGTTTTTCACGCTCAACAGTTTCCCTGTGTGTAGCAAGAATGGTCCACCACCCAAAGGACATCCAGCCGACTTAACACAACTGTAGGAAGCATTGGAGTCAACATGGGCCAGCATCCCTGTGGAATGCTTTCGAAAGGGGTGCAACTCAGTATTAGGAAGGTGCCCTTAATTTTTTTGTACACTCAGTGTATATAGCACCTTATAGATGCAGTCAGAGCATTATGAAACTATAATAAAGCAATTAGGAATGACTGGCCCCTTACCTGTGATATTCAGAGTAGGTAATACAAGTCTTTACTTAAAGGCCCAATGCAGTCAAAAACATGATTTTCCTGTGTTTTATTTATATTTCCACAGTATGAGGTTGTTGGAATAATACTGTGAAATTGTGAAAATTATGATAATGCCATTTTAGTGTAAGAGCTGATTCAAAAGACCGCCTGAAATGTCAGCCTGTTTTGGTGGGATGGCATTTTGGCCTTCCATGGTGACATCACCATGTGGTAAATTAGTTAATAGACCAATAAGAAAGAGTTTCAAACTTCTCTGCCAATAACAGCACATTTTCAGTTTCCCCCTCCCCACTCACACCACTCCCAGACAGTCCTAGCAAAATTCTTGCTTGAAAAATTGCCCCTTTGTTAAGAAGCTATTTTTGTTTCTTTTTGACCATTTAACAATTAAGGTACTATATTGTTACCCAGAAATGTTGTGATATTCAGATAAAAACAGCTGCATTGGATCTTTAAAGCAATTGCTTCTTTGTTGCACAAAATGAAAAACAGTGGGCAATATGGGCAATGTTTATATCCCTCACTCTCTCACCTGGATCTTGTCACACCAGCCAGCGAAGTAGCGGAAGGTCTGGATGGACATGCCCACATGGGTCTTCAGGGCCAGGGTGTATACGGCCCCGGAGTCCATGGACTCTATGGTGGCTAACTCCTCTTGGTGCTCCTCCATCAGGTCAGCCAGCCTGGAGGGGGCAGTGAAGGATTCAATCGTTTCCTTTAAACAGCTCAATACAGCAACGGGTTATTCATTTAACACTGAAAATGCACTTTAACGGAAAATATTACACAAATCAAAAAGTGCACAACGGTGAAGTGTGACCTCATGTATGTGTGACCTCACGTATGTCTTCAAAAAACATCCCCCTATATATGATCCTGTATCTTATAGACCCAGCGGTACATGGTTGAATGCCTTGTATAGTTGCCTGCATATGGGTGTTTCAAAGACCACCTGTATTATTATATGTGCCTGGGTCTTAGTCTTGTGTTGCATCCAAAATGCCCTATTCCCTATGGACCAAATGGGCTCAGGTCAAAAGTAATGCGCTATAATAGGATGCTATTTTACATGCAGCTTAGTTTGTTTCTAATAGACTGACTTATATAGGAGTCTGCCTCTGTCTCTGGGGTTTATCTTTCCCCACTCTCCCTCCTCGAACGCCTCCTTGGCGGCCGCTACAGCTCGGTCCACGTCACTGGCTTGAGCGAAAGACACATCACAGATCGCCTAAAGAGACAGCGAGAGAGATGGGAAACTCACAAACTGGAAGAGTGATAAAGTCTCTTCATTTGTCATCGTCTGAGACAAACCAAATTGGTGCGAGCAGATCAAGTTATTAATAACTTTATGAAAACCATGGGTCAGACATGAATGGACAGGTGAAAGCTAGCTAGCTCCCTACCGTTCCGTCTGTGGGGTTGATGGTCTTGTAGGTCTTCCCACCCTCTGCGTCCACAAACTCCCCGTTGATGAAGAGCTGGTGGGGCATCCGGATGGTCATGTTGTTGATGTTCTTCTCCACCTGGTTACAGGACATTTACGTTACGCTACCTAATCAAAGGCCTTTCAAAGCTTGTTGTGATCTTCCTTAGTGATCATGTTACTAACGCAGGAGACCGAAATAGGAACTCGAACGCCCTCCAAAGTTTCACTCCTGTTACTAACGGCCTACATTAGATTAGAGCATTGAGGATAATGCTGATTCTGGTGGTAATGATGATGATGATGGTTAAGATAATGTTGATAATGATGAAGATATTGAGGATCATGGTAATAATGACGATGACGATGACTCTTACGTAGTCGACGACCAGCTCCTCCTCGCCGTCCTCCCCTCGGAGCTTCCTCACACACATCTGGATGAAGTCCTGGAAGGTGGTGTTCATGTACACGTCCTCGTTCTGCAGCTGACACCCACTGGCCCTCAGCTTCACCTCCTCCACCAACCTGACAACATAAGATAGGATAGGATTAACTGGATTGTACCAGAGGGAAAATATCATACTTTTTCATTAACGTCTAATATTATGTATGCTTTGGAGTTATTTACTTCCTGCAGAGAGAGGGGGAGATGGAGGGGGAGTGGGGGATGTGGCTAGGGTGAGGTGGGGGGATAATGATACGGTGTGGAGAGGGAGAGGGAGGGAGTGAAGCAAAGGAGGTGGTAGGGATGAAAGAGGTGGTAGGGGTGAGGTAGGGGTGAAGTAGGGATGAAGGAGGTTGTAGGGGTGAGGTAAGGATGAAGGAGGTGGTAGGGGTGAGGTAGGGATGTAGGGGTGATGTAGGGATGTAGGAGGTGGTAGGGGTGAGGTAGGGATGAAGGAGGTGATAGGGGTGAGGTAGGGATGTAGGGGTGAGGTTAGGGATGAAGGAGGTTGTAGGGATGAAGGAGGGATAAAGGAGGTGGTAGGGGTGCGGTAGGGATGTAGGGGTGAGGTAGGGATGAAGGAGGGATAAAGGAGGTGGTAGGGGTGCGGTAGGGATGTAGGGGTGAGGTAGGGATAAAGGAGGTGGTGGATGGGGAAGAAGCGGTGTTCAACTCACTTCAAGTCAGTGTTCAACTAGAAAAAACATGTCCTACTTGGTTTACTGTCTAAAACCCATTGACTTGCACCCTTTTATCTTTTAGATGTTCATGCTGGTGTGTTGCTTACCTGACCACGTCCATAGAAGCAGCCCCAGACTTGAAGAAGTCAGTGGATTCCTCGATGGCAGCCACGTTAGTCAGGATGCTCTTCCAAACACCCTGTCAATGGGACAAGACAACACTGTAAACACTGGTCTGGAGTCAGTTTATCGAGGGTTAAGGTGAGAGATCGACATTTACAGTTGAAGTCGGATGTTTACATACACCTTAGCCAAATACATTTAAACTCAGTTTTTCACAATTCCTGACATTTAACCCTAGTAGAAAATCCCTGTCTTAGGTCAGTTAGGATCACCACTTTATTTTAAGAATGTGAAATGTCAGAATAATAGTAGAGATTTATTTTAGCTTTTATTTCTTTCATCACATTCCCAGTGGGTCAGAAGTTTACATACTCTCAATTAGTATTTGGTAGCATTGCCTTTAAATTGTTTAACTTGGGTCAAACGTTTCTGGTAGCCCATTCCTCCTGACAGAGCTGGTGTAACTGAGTCAGGTTTGTAGGCCTCCTTGCTCACACACGCTTTTTCAGTTCTGCCCACAAATGTTCTATAGGATTGAGGTCAGGGCTTTGTGATGGCCACTCCAATACCTTGACTTTGTTGTCCTTAAGCCATTTTGCCACAACTTTGGAAGTATGCTTGGGGTCATTGTCCATTTGGAAGACCCATTTGTGACCAAGCTTTAACTTCCTGACTGATGTCTTGAGATGTTGCTTCAATATATCCACATCATTTTCCTTCCTCATGATGCCATCTATTTTGTGAAGTGCACCTGTCCCTCCTGCAGCAAAGCACCCCCACAGCATGATGCTGCCACCCCCGTGCTTCACGGTTGGGATGGTGTTCTTCGGCTTGCAAGCTACCCCCTTTTTCCTCCAAACATAACGATGGTCATTATGGCCAAACAGTTCTATTTTTGTTTCATCAGACCGGAGGACATTTCTCCTAAAAGTACGATCTTTGTCCCCGTAGTCTGGCTTTTTTATGGCGGTTTTGTAGCAGCGGCTTCTTCCTTGCTGAGCGGCCTTTCGGGTTACGTCGATATAGGACTCGGTTTACTGTGGATATAGATACTTTTGTATCTGTTTCCTCCAGCATCTTCGCAAGGTCCTTTGCTGTTGTTCTGGGATTGATTTGCTCTTTTCGCACCAAAGTACGTTCATCTCTAGGAGACAAAATGCATCTCCTTCCTGAGCGGTATGACGGCTGCGTGGTCCCATGGTGTTTATACTTGCGTACAATTGTTTGTACAGATGAACGTGGTACCTTCAGGCGTTTGGGAAATTGCTCCCAAGGATGAACCAGACTTGTGGAGGTCTACAATTTTTTTTCTGAGGTCTTGGCTGATTTCTTTTGAGTTTCCCATGATGTCAAGCAAAGAGTCACTAAGTTTGAAGGTAGGCCTTGAAATACATCCACAGGTACACCTCCAATTGACTCAATGATGTCAATTAGCCTATCAGAAGCTTCTAAAGCCATGACATCATTTTCTGGAATTTTCCAAGCTGTTTAAAGGCACAGTCAACTTAGTGTATGTAAACTTCTGACCCACTGGAATTGTGATACAGTGAATTATAATGAAATAATCTGTCTGTAAACAATTGTTGGAAAAATTACTTGTGTCATGCACAAGGTAGATGTCCTAAACCGACTTTCCAAAACTATAGTTCGTTAACAAGACATTTGTGGAGTGGTTGAAAAACAAGTTTTAATGACTACAACCTAAGTGTATGTAAACTTCCGACTTCAACTGTACATTTAAAACCTCGTTTAAATTAGCCGCAAAATCAGTGTAAGAAAGACAGGTACAATAGTAAAGTGTTAGTCCTTTTTTATTTTATTTTTTCTTACCCTCATTTGCTCAGCGAAGGCTTTCTCCTCCTCAGTGAGCTCCACAGAAGCGCTGCTCCCCAAGCTGAAGTACCTTGCCGCCGCAATCATCTTCCCATCCTCAAACTGCAGGTTCTTCACTAGCAACTGGACAGACAGACAGACAGACAGACATCATGCTGTTCAACATTTCTGCATGCACTGGTTTAGTTTGTTCCAAACAGTCCAAAGTCATGCCATTATAATACACTGAATCAGGATTCAACTGTCTATTCAAAAGTCTTCATATTATGCAGTACTAGGACAGCGACCAGAGAGGTTCTTACTGTCTTTGGAGCTACCAAAATCTTAACCAATAGCCAGCGTGCAGCACAAGTTCCTGTCTGGGTAGTGGGTTTGGAAGAAATAGCCATTTGAGAGTCTGTCTGTGCTGAACAGTTGAACCAAAAATAAAATATATGGGTGGGGTGGGGGGGGGGGGGGGTACGGATTTTGTTTCCAAGTTTGAACTGAAAGGAGGGCTGGAGCGAGTGGGGAATGGCGTCCCTTAAGAGGGCCAGAATGAGATGTACTGTATGTCAGGAGATGTGCAGTATTATCACAAGGAGGCATATAGTTGGATTACGAAGGAGGAATGGAGGGAAAAAGAGAGGCAGAGGGGGTCGAAGAGAGAGAGGGAGGAAGAGGGTGAGCTTGAATTGGTTAAAAATTGAGGGAAAAAGCGAGATGGTTTAGTTGAAGAAGAATGGTAGAAAGTGTAAGCAGAGTGAGCTGTACGCAGGATCTAAGACAGGAGGAGAAATGGAAGTGAATGAGGGCGAAGTATCGGAGGTGGTAGGTGTGGTGAAGTTCTCGGAGCCCGAGGCTTGCACCGAGGGTCAGGATAAAGATGAGTCTGTGACAATAGGAGTGACATTTTTTGAAAAAGTGGACCCTTGCCTTTTGGCTTATCCATTTGTGTTTTCAGGGTGGGTGAAAACTGAGTTAGGTGCTGTGGAATCGGTGAAGGTAACCTGAAGTGGTCTTGTGATAATTGTTTGTGTTTCTGTTGGTCAGCGGGAGCAGGCACTCCGCGTCAAACAACTGGGGACAAGAGGTTGTTTGTTTTGCTCTCAAGAAAAGGGTGCTATTGAAAGGAGTGATTACTGGGGTAGTGGTAAATGTGAAAGTGGACCAACTGAAGGGGAAGATTCCCGGTGTTTGTGATGCTCGTCGTTTGGTGTGACGCAGACAGGGTGGCGTGAGTGGAGAAACAGAGGAGTCGGTCTGTTCTTTTCACTTCTGATTTGGAGTCTTTGTCCGACAAATTGATGTTAGGATGTATTAGTTATCCCGTACACGCTTTTGTACCGAATACGTTACGTTGTTACAGGTGTTAAGCTTATGGGCATGTGGCAGCAGTGTGTAGGAGGGAGGTTCCTAGGTGTGAGAAGTGTGCAGAAGGGCATGAGACAATGGTATGTGTAGCATTGGGGAAAGAAGCGGTATATGTTAATTGTAGGGGTGCACATGCAGCTGCGGATCAGAAATATCGGATGTGAGAGAGGCTGGTTGAGGTTACCAGGGTTAGAGTAGTGCAGAAGTTGTCGTATGTTGAGGCAGTGAAGAAAGTAGATGAAGATGGGTCAAGGGGGAGGGATCCTAAGAGGAGTGGTGTGAGTAGTAGATCGGTACCAGTCCAGAGGGGTTGGCCAACAAGTGATATATGCTTCAGTAAGATTGGATTATTAGCGTTTATAGCAATAGTTATCAACTGTACTAGAGGGATGGAACGTATGTCGCAGAAAATTGAGGTTGTGGTGGCAGCTGCTGAGAAGCATTTGGGTGTACGAAATTTGACATCAGAAGAGTTACAGGGTGTGTTGAGTTGTGGTGTTCTGTCCTTTCAGGCTGTTGGCCTGAGGTACGACTAGATAGATTTAGTGGTGTAGGGTGTTTTTTTTTATATTTGTATATATTTTTTTTTTATTCACCTTTATTTAACCAGGTAAGCTAGTTGAGAACAAGTTCTGCGACCTGGCCAAGATAAAGCAAAGAAGTGCGATAAAAACAACAACACAGAGTTACATATGGGGTAAACAAAACATGAAGTCAAAAATACAACAGAAAATATATATACAGCGTGTGCGAATGTAGTAAGTTATGGAGGTAAGGCAATAAATAGGCCATAGTGCAAAATAGTTAAAATTTCGTATTAACACTGGAATGATAGATGTGCAAAAGATGATGTGCAAATAGAGATACTGGGGTGCAAATTAGCAAAATAAATAACAATATGGGGATGAGGTAGTTGGGTGGGCTAATTTCAGAATGGCTGTGTACAGGTGCAGTGATCGGTACAGTGAAGCTTAAAGTTAGTGAGGGAGATAAGTCTCCAGCTTCAGAGATTTTTGCAGTTCGTTCCAGTCATTGGCAGCAGAGAACTGGAAGGAATGGCGGCCAAAGGAGGTGTTGGCTTTGGGGATGACCAGTGAGATATACCTGCTGGAGCGCAGACTACGGGTGGGTGTTGCTATGGTGACCAGTGAGCTAAGATAAGACGGGGATTTGCCTAGCAGTGATTTATAGATGACCTGGAGCCAGTGGGTTTGGCGACGAATATGTTGGTGTATGGTGGGTTTTTAATGAGTGTAGGGTTAGATGGTAGAGTATTTGTTGATAAAAAAATAAAATAAAAAATCTAGCAAAGTATAACGGAGTCATACTCCAGTCTAGTTGGCGGCGATAATGCAACATTTATTGGATGCAAACCGCCGTTAAACCTCGTCGAAGAAGAAGAAGACTGTTTCCACTCTGGACAACAGGTGGCGATATAGTGCGAAATTGGGTTGCCGTGCACGCACTGTAAAAGGGTAGAGTTAGCAGTGTTTACTTCCGGGGTTTCTGGCAGGCACATTTCACAAAAAAAAAGCAGGAAAAAAAAGCTTTCAATTGATCTACCTTGCTAATAAAATACAAGCAACAGTGCATCCACAATATGTCAAAAATGCAATTGCTCAATATGTTTCTGCGCGAGCGATTGACAGCGGCTGCTGTAGAGATTTTTGGAGTAGTGGAAAAGACGATAGTGGAGTATCAAGAAGAAATCACCCGTTCGAAAGAGGAGAACGAACGTTTACATAAAATGTTGGATATGGTCATTAAACCTCAAGTCAAGTTACATAGAGCAGGTTTGTAACGGCGACTACTTCAATTTAATGTTTGACTGGCTTGCACTACTAGCTATTATTAAAAATATCATCAACTGATTTCAGCCGCGGGCCGATTTTGTCTTGAGCGGATGGTCAGGGGGCCGGAACATAATAAAAAATAATTTGTAGACCGCAAATTGACCGCAATTAGCCCAAACAGATAATACTTGACTAAAACATAATAATTTCAAACTTTGCTTACATTTGTATACGGTCACATATACACTACATGACCATAAGTATGTGGACACCTGCTCCTCAAACATCTCATTCCAAAATCATGGGCATTAATATGGAGTTAGTCCCCCCTTTGCTGCTATAACAGCCTCCATTCTTCTGGGAAGGCGTTCCACTAGATGTTGGAACATTTTAGCGGGGACTTGCTTCCTTTCAGCCACAAGCGCATTAGTGAGGTTGGGCACTGATGTTGGGCAATTAGGCCTGGCTCGCAGTCAGCATTCCAATTCATCCCAAAGGTGTAAAATGGGGTTGAGGTCAGGGCTCTGTGCAGGCCAGTCAAGTTCATCCATACCGATCTCGACAAACAATTTCTGTGTAGACCTTGCTTTGTGAATGGGGGCATTGTCATGCTGAAACAGGAAAGGGCCTTCCCCATACTGTTGCCATAAAGTTGGAAGCACAGAATCGTCTAGAATGCCATTGTATGCTGTAGCGTTAAGATTTCCCTTCACTGGAACTAAGGGGCCTAGCCCAAACCATGAAAAACAGCCCCAGACCATTATTCCTCCTCCACCAAACTTTACAGTTGGCACTATGCATTGGGGCAGGTAGCGTTCTCCTGGCATCCGCCAGAACCAGATTAGTCTGTCGGACTGCCAGATGGTGGAGCGCGATTCATTACTCCAGAGAACGTGTTTCCACTGCTCCAGAGTCCAGTGGTGGTGAGCTTTTCACCACCGCAGCCGACACTTGGCATTGCGCATGGTGATCTTAGGCTTGTGTGCGGCTGCTCGGCCAAGGAAACCGATTTCATGAAGCTCCCGACAAACAGTTATTTTGCTGACGTTGCTTCCAGAGGCAGTTTGGAACTCGATAGTGAGTGTTGCAACTGAGGACAGACGATTTTTACACGCTTCAGCACTCAGCGATCACATTCTGTGAGCTTGTGTGGCCTACCACATCGCGGCTGAGCCGTTGTTGCTCCTAGACGTTTCCACTTCACAATAACAGCACTTACAGTTGACCAGGGCAGCTCTAGCAGGGCAGAAATTTGACACACTGACTTGTTGGAAAGGTGGCATCATATGACGGTGCCACGTTGAAAGTCACTGTGCTCTTCACCAAGGCCATTCTACTGCAAATGTCTATGGAGATTGCATGGCTGTGTGCTCGATTTTATACACCTGTCAGAAACGGGTGGGGCTGAAATAGCTGAACCCACTCATTTGGAGGGGTGTCCACATACTTTTGGCCATGTAGTGTATGTATTATGTGGGGGAATACTTTGGAACATATTTACAGTCTAATGTCCAACAATTTAAAAAATGTAACTTTTTTGCGCGGAGGGGGAATAAGATCACCTGCGGGCCAAATTCATCCCACGGGGTGGCAGTTGGGGAACCCTGGCCAAGTCAGATGTTATTACTGTACCAGCTGGCTGATAGGCGTTATTACAGTGCCTTCAGAAAGTATTCACACCCCTTGACTTTTTCCACATTTTGTTGTGTTACAGCGTGAATTTAAAATGGATTAAGTTGAGATTTTGTGTTACTGGCCTACACACAATACCCCATAATGTCAAAGTGGAATAATATTTGTACACATTTCTACAAATTAAAAATTAAAAGCTGAAATGTCTTGAGTCAATAAGTATTCAACCACTTTGTTATGGCAAGCCTAAATAAGTTCACCGGCAAAAATGTGCTTAACAAGTCACATAAGTTGCATGGACTCACTCATGATGTTTGACTGACTACCTCATCTCTGTACCCTACACATACAATTATCTGTAAGGTCCCTCAGTTGAGCAGTGGATTTCAAACACAGATTCAACCACAAAGACCAGGGAGGTTTTCCAATGCCTCGCAAAGAAGCCTGAGTCCGTAGGGAAGTTGCACCTATGGGACAAGACTGTAACTACCAATTGGATATCACGAAATTGGGGAGAAAAAGGTGTAAAAATAAATAAAAAACAGACATTGAATATCCTTTTGAGCATGGTGAAGTTATTCATTACACTTAGGATGGTGTACAAACACCCAGTCACTACAAAGATACAGGTTTCCTTCCTAACTCAGTTGCCGGAGAGGAAGGAAACCGCTCAGGGATTTCACCATGAGGACAATGGTGACTTTAAAATACACTGAACAAAAATATAAACGCAACATGTGAAGTGTTGGTCCCATGTTTCATGAACTGAAATAAAAGATCCCAGAAATCTTCCATATGCACAAAAAGCTTATTTATCTCTAATTTTGTGCACACATTTATTTACATCCCTGGTAATGAGCATTTCTGCTTTGCCAAGATAATCCATCCACCTGGCAGGTGTGACATATCAAGAAGCTGATTAAACGGCATAATCATTACACAGGTGCACCTTGTGCTGGGGACAATAAAAGGCCACTCTAAAATGTGCAGTTTTGTCACACAACACAATGCCACAGAGGTCTCAAGTTTTGCAGGAATGACCACCAGAGCTGTTGCCAGATAATTTAATGTTCTGTTCTCTACCATAAGCCGCCTCTAATGTTGTTTTACAGAATTTGTCTGTACGTCCAACTGGCCTCACAACTGCAGACCACGTGTAACCACGCCAGCCCAAAACCTCCACATTCGTCTGAAACCAGCCACCCGGACAGCTGATGAAACTGTGGGTTTGAACAACCGAATAATTTCTGCACAAACTGTCAGAAACCGTCTCAGGGAAGCTCATCTGCGTACTCGTCGTCCTCACCAGGGTCTTGACTTGACTGCAGTTCAGCGTCGTAACCGACTTCAGTGGGAAAATGCTCACCTTCGATGGCCAATGGCACGCTGGAGAAGTGTGCTCTTCACGGATGAGTCCCAGTGTCAACTGTACCGTGTAGATGGCAGACAGCGTGTATGGCGTTGTGTGGGCGAGTGGTTTGCTGCTGTCAATGTTGTAAACAAAGTGCCCCATGGTGGCGGTGGGGTTATGGTATGGGCAGGCATAAGCTACAGACAACGAACACAATAGCATTTTATCTATAGCATTTGGAATGCACAGAGATACCGTGACGATTTCCTGAGGCCCATTGTCGTGCCATTCATCCGCCGCCATCACCTCGTTTCAACATGATAATGCACGGCCCCATGTCACAAGGATCTGTACACAATTCCAGAAAGCTGAAAATGGCCCAGTTCTTCCATGGCCTGCATACCCACCAGACATGTCACCCACTGAGTATGTTTGGGATGCTCTGGATCGACGTGTACGACAGCGTGTTCCAGTTCCCGCCAATATCCAGCAAATTCGCACAGCCATTGAAGAGGAGTGGGACAACATTCAACAGGCCACAATCAACAGCCTTATCAACTCTATGCAAAGGAGATGTGTTGCGCTGCATGAGGAAAATGGTGGTCACACCAGATACTGACTGGTTTTCTGATCCACACCCATACTTTTTTTATTTTTATGTATCTGTGACCAACAGATTAATATCTCGATTCCCAGTCATGTGAAATCCATAGATTAGGGCCTAATGAATTTATTTCAATTGACTGATTTACTTATATGAACTGTAACTCACTAACTGTAAGTCGCTCTGGATAAGAGCGTCTGCTAAATGACTAAAATGTAAATGTAACTCAGTAAAATCTTTGAAATTGTTGCATGTTGCGTTTATATTTTTGTTCAGTGTAGTTAGAGTTTAATGGCTGTGATGGGAGAAAACTGAGGATGGATCAACAACATTGTAGTTACTCCACAATACTAACCTAAATGACAGATAGAAAAGAAGGAAGCCTGTACAGAATAAAAAATATGATGTTTGGGGCAAAAAAAAAAATATATATTTAATCCATTTTGAATTCAGGCTGTAACACAACAAAATGTGGAATAAGTCAAGGGTATGAATACTTTCTGAAGGTACTGTAAGTAGGTAATGTTAAACTTAGCTAAGAGAATTCTCGACCAACCTTTACTTGTCGATACTTTCTCAATTCCCGACTTGGAAGACACCTGTCTTCTAAATTTCCATGTCTAGTCGTTTGAATTTAGAAAATGCTCAGTTATTAAATACATTTACAAAAAATGTACTAACAATGTGTACGCTGCCATCTTGTCTATTTCAAATCTTCTCTCATTGATTGGGTGTCCACCCCAAAGTGCTTTATGTCATGATGACACGCCTCTATGAGTGACAGGATTCGATTATCTGGCCCGGGTTACCCCGGTTGGAGGAGTTTGCGCCGGGTGAAAAGTGATTGCATTCGTTTTGGAACCGGCTACAAGGTGCCCCGTTCAAAGCCCATGGCAAAGTGATGTAGCCTAGGGTAGATTAAGCCTGCGGAATAATGAGTAGCATTCTGTTTTCACATGCAAAGGTTATTCCTTTTGATAAAAATGCTTTCTCAGCCTTTCCAATGAAAACTAGTTTGAAAATTCCAACATACAGTACTGGTCAAAAGTTTTATAACACCTACTCATTCAAGGGTTTTTCTTTATTTTTACTATTTTCTACATTGTAGAATAATAGTGAAGACATCAAAACAATGAAATAACCCATGGAATCATGTACTAACCAAAAAAGTGTTAAACAAATCAAAATATATTTTATATTTGAGATTCTTCAAATAGCCACCATTTGCCTTGATGACAGCTTTGCACACTATTGGCATTCTCTCAACCAGCTTCATGAGGTAGTCACCTGGAATGCATTTCAATTAATAGGTGTGGCTTCTTAAGTTAATTTGTGGAATTTCTTTCCTTCTTAATGTTTGAGCCAATCAGTTGTGTTGTGACAAGGTAGGATGGGTATACAGAAGATATCCCTATTTGGTAAAAGACCAAGTCCATATTATGGCAAGAACAGCTCAAATAAGCAAAGAGAAACGACAGTCCATCATTACTTTAAGACATGAAGGTCAGTCAATCTGGAAAATGTCAAGAACTTAAAGTTTCTTCAAGTGCAGTCGCAAAAACCATCAAGCGCTATGATGAAACTGGCTCTCATGAGGACCACCACAGGAATGGAAGACCCAGAGCATTCTACAGCGATACGCCATCCCATCTGGTCTGGGCTTAGTGGGACTATCATTTGTTTTTCAACAGGACAATGACCCAACACACCTCCAGGCTGTGTAAGGGCTATTTGACCAAGAAGGAGAGTGATGGAGTGCTGCATCAGATGACCTGGCCTCCACAATCCCCTGACCTCAACCAAATAGAGATGGTTTGGGATGAGTCGGACGGCAGAGTGAAGGAAAAGCAGCCAACAAGTGCTCAGCATATGTGGGAACTCCTTCAAGACTGTTGGAAAAGCATTCCAGGTGAAGCTGGTTGAGAGAATGCCAAGACTGTGCAAAGCTGTCATCAAGGCAAAGGGTGGCTTTTTGAAGATATATTTTAATTTGTTTACCACATTTTTTTGTTTACTACATGATTCCATATGTGTTATTTCATAGTTTTGATGTCTTCACTATTATTCTACAATGTAAAAGTAAAGAAAAACCCTTGAATGAGTAGGTGTGTCCAAACTTTTGACTGGTAGTGTATATTTTATGGAAAAGAGATGTATGTTCCTGGACGATGCACCATAGTGCCTTGTTGAAAACATGACCGAGCGGCACAGATTACTGTTCGATTTGAGAAGGGCGCTCCTCCCTCACCGCTTTTGCCAGTTCACATCACGGGTCATAGACCGATGACAGGGTCCACATTGTTGGATTACTTCATGGAGCAAATTTGATTTAATTTAATAACGGAGCATTTTCTAAGTTCAAACGAACCCCCTGCAACTAGACATGGAGGTTTAGAACACATGTTGTCTTCCAAGTAGGGAATTGAGGAAGTATCACCAAGTAAAGGTTGGTCGAAAATTCTCTGTGCTACACTTAATATGACCTACTTAAAAACACAGATCAGCCAGCTGGAACAGTAATTATGGCGATATTTGTAATCGCTAGCTTGCAGCAAGCCTACAATGTCTGTCACTTTACTTGTCAGTTGTCCCCAGTTACCGGTCAATCAACTTGCTAGAACCCAATATCATTGGAAGATTCGTTTTTCATAATTAAGCATGCATTGTTCCATAAAAGGTCCAATGTAGCCATTTTTATCTCAATATCAAATCATTTCTGGGTAACAGTTAAGTACCTTTCTGTGATTTTTTTTTCAATTGAAATGGTCAAAAAGAAACAAAAGTAGCTTCTTAGCAAAGAGCAATTTTTCAAACAAGAATTTAGCTAGGACTGAGTGGGGAGGGGAAAACTAGCTGTTATTGGCAGAGAGGTTTGGAACTCTTTCTTATTGGTCTCTTAACTAATTTACTGCCTGGTGATGTCACCAGGCAGGCTAAAACTCCCCACCAAAACAGGCAGAAATTTCTGACAGCCTTTTCAAATGGCTCTTACACTAAAAGCGCATTATCATCATTTCACAGTATTATTCCAACGTCATAGTGTAGAAATATACACTGAGTATACCAAACATTAGGAACACCTTCCTAATATTGAGTTGCACAACCCCTCTCCCTCCCTCCCTCCCTCCTCAGAACAGCCTCAATTCGTCGGGTCAACTACAGGGTGTCGAAAGCGTTCCACAAGGATGCTGACCCATGTTGACTCCAATGCTTCCTACAGTTGTGTCAAATTGTCTGGATGTCCTTTGGGGTGGTGGACCATTCTTGATACACACGGGAAGCTGTTCAGCGTGAAAAACCCAGCAGCGTTGCAGTTCTTGACACAAACTGGTGCGCCTGGCACCTACTACCATACCCCGTTCAAAGGCACTTAAATATTTTGTCTTGCCCATTCACCCTCTGAAAGGCACACATACACAATCCATATGCAGTGAGGGGAAAAAAGTATTTGATCCCCTGCTGATTTTGTACGTTTGCCCACTGACAAAGACATAATGGTAGGTTTATTTGAACAGTGAGAGACAGAATAACAACAAAAAATCCAGAAAAACGCATGTCAAAAATATTATAAATTGATTTGCATTTTAATGAGGGAAATAAGTATTTGACCCCCTCTCAATCAGAAAGATTTCTGGCTCCCAGGTGTCTTTTATACAGGTAACAAGCTGAGATTAGGAGCACACTCTTAAAGGGAGTGCTCCTAATCTCAGCTTGTTACCTGTATAAAAAGACACCTGTCCACAGAAGCAATCAATCAATCAGATTCCAAACGCTCCACCATGGCCAAGACCAAAGAGCTCTCCAAGGATGTCAGGGACAAGATTGTAGACCTACACAAGGCTGGAATGGGCTAAAAGACCATCGCCAAGCAGCTTGGTGAGAAGGTGACAACAGTTGGTGCGATTATTCGCAAATGGAAGAAACACAAAATAACTGTCAATCTCCCTCGGCCTGGGGCTCCATGCAAGATCTCACCTCGTGGAGTTGCAATGATCATGAGAACGGTGAGGAATCAGCCCAGAACTACACGGGAGGATCATGTCAATGATCTCAAGGCAGCTGGGACCATAGTCACCAAGAAAACAATTGGTAACACACTATGCCGTGAAGGACCGAAATCCTGCAGCGCCCGCAAGGTCCCCCTGCTCAAGAAAGCACTTATACAGGGCCGTCTGAAGTTTGCCAATGAACATCTGAATGATTCAGAAGAGAACTGGGTGAAAGTGTTGTGGTCAGATGAGACCAAAATCAAGCTCTTTGGCATCAACTCAACTCGCCGTGTTTGGAGGAGGAGGAATGCTGCCTATGACCCCAAGAACACCATCTCCACCGTCAAACATGGAGGTGGAAACATTATGCTTTGGTGGTGTTTGTCTGCTAAGGGGACAGGACAACTTCACCGCATCAAAGGGACGATGGACGGCGCCATGTACCGTCAAATCTTGGGTGAGAACCTCCTTCCCTCAGCCAGGGCATTGAAAATGGGTCGTTGATGGGTATTCCAGCATGACAATGACCCAAAACACACGGCCAAGGCAAGAAAGGAGTGGCTCAAGAAGAAGCACATTAAGGTCCTGGAGTGGCCTAGCCAGTCTCCAGACCTTAATCCCATAGAAAATCTGTGAAGGGAGCTGAAGGTTTGAGTTGCCAAACGTCAGGCTCGAAACCTTAATGACTTGAGATGTGTGCAAACCTGGTGGCCAACTACAAGAAACGTCTGACCTCTGTGATTGCCAACAAGGGTTTTGCCACCAAGTACTAAGTCATGTTTTGCAGAGGGGTCAAATACTTATTTCCCTCATTAAAATGCAAATCAATCTATAACATTTTTGACATGCGTTTTTCTGGATTTTTTGTTGTTATTCTGTCTCTCACTGTTCAAATAAACCTACCATTAAAATTATAGACTGATCATGTCTTTGTCAGTGGGCAAACGTACAAAATCAGCAGGGGATCAAATACTTTTTTCCCCTCACTGTATGTCTCCTCCCCTTCATCTACACTAACTGAACTTAATGACTTAATGTTTTGTATACTCAGTGTATATACACACACACACACACACAACACAGGAAAATCACATTTTGACTGCACTGGGCCTTTAAACATTGAAAGCATACACTGATTGAACAAAATATTAGGAACACCTGCTCTTTCAATGACATAGACGGACCAGGTGAATCCAGGTGAAAGCTATGATCCCTTATTGATGTCACTTGTTAAATCAACGTCAAACAGTGTAGATGAAGGGGAGGAGACAGGTTAAAGAAGGATTTCTAAGCCTTGAGACAATTGAGACGTATTGTGTATGTGCCATTCAGAGGGTGAATGGGCAAGACAAAATATTTAAGTGCCTTTGAACGGGGTATTTTAGTAGGTGCCAGGCGCACCGGTTTGTGTCAAGAACTGCAACACTGCTGGGTTTTTCATGCTCAACAGTTTCCCGTGTGTATCAAGGATGGGCCACCACCCAAAGTACATCCAGCCAACGTGACAACTGTGGGAAGCATTGGAGTCAACATGGGCCAGCATCCCTGTGGAATGCTTTCAACACCTTGTAGAGTCCATGACCTGATGAATTGAGGCTGTTCTGAGGGCAAAAGGGGGAGTGCAACTCAATATTAGGAAGGTGTTCCTAATGTTTTGTATACTCGGTGTATATAAAATAAAGGAAAATCACATTTTTGACCGCACTGGGCCTTTAAACATTGAAAACATATATTAATATGTCTCTCTATTGAATAACATTTCTTTGCCTGTCCTTCCCTCCAGACCCTAGGCAGCTCCATGTCTCTGAAGAAGAGGTTCCCCTTGAGCAGGAGTGGAGCAGCCCCATTCTGCGGCAAGAAAGTTCAGAGCCCACACAAAGTACAGAGGAACAGGACCTCAGGACCAATCTGGGAGAAGAGCAACTGCAAGGGCCTGAGACTCATGGTCATAACATAGAGTTTGTGTTCACACCTCCTTGTGTGAAAAGTGATTTTGTTCAGGACCCTTGGCCCTCACACCTTTTCCAAACCCAAATTGTGGAGGACAATGAGACGAATAATCTATCGAGCACCCTCGTGGAACACATTAAAACAGAACCCGATGGAGGAGAGGGCTATGGAGTAGTAACGAGTGACCCACAGCTCATGTTTGCAGTAAACGCACACTGTTCTGCAGCTCCAAGTGAAAACATGCATGGGACAGAGATTGAAGGCCCTCTGCAACGGAAAACAAAGACAGGAAGACCATTCAGACATATAGGAACGCTGTCTGAACTTAAGAAGAGACGCGCTTTGTATGAGCGATTTCGATGCCATGTCTGTGGAAAAGGGTTCCCAGCAAGGAATGGTCTGGGAGACCACATGACAACTCACACAGGGGAGAGACCACACAGCTGTCACCTCTGTGGGAAAGGTTTCAAAGTGAAGAGTCATCTGAAAGAGCATATCAGGGTTCACACAGGAGAGAAACCCTTTGTCTGCCCAGTCTGTGGGAAAGCGTTCAGGCAGGATGCCCATATGAAAGGACATTTGAGGGGGACTCACAAGGAGAAACCATACAGATGCCATGACTGTGGCGAAAGCTTCAGTCAGATGGGAGAGCTGCAAATGCATAGGACAGTGTGCTGTCGTCCATTTGCCCTGGGCCCAAATTTGATGTAACTTTCACTCCCTTAATGCCTACGGTGACCAGGACGCTTTAGACTTGCAGCCATGATAAGGACCATTCAAATGTGTTATTGAACAAACAAAGGAAGAATGTTCTGTTCACAGAGTTAGAAAAGTTTGAGAGAGCATCTCCTATATTTCTCAAAATCTATAAACGGGAGGGCGTTTCCAGAAAGCATGTAGCCTATGTGGTTGTCTGTATGTGGTTCTTGGCAAGTTTCAGTGAGTCCCATGAGAAATAGTTGTCAATTTAACTAGTTCTGTGGTACCTCATATTGTGTAAATATATTTCAAAAAATATTTGAGTCCCTGATTGAGAGGTCTGTGACCCATTTTGTGGGCTGTGTCTAATATCAAGAATATTCTGTATATCTTGGATATAATTTTTCCCCTCCTGTTAACTTTCTATGTGTTTTTGTGAGAGTGGAAGGCATTCTCAACTTTGGAGAATCTCTCATAAGATGGGTAAAAGTAATGTACAACAATCCTTTATGTAAAATAATAAATAAATGGTTACTTCCCTGAGAACTTTGAATTGTCAAGAGGCGTAAAACAAGGTTGCCCTCTGTCACCATACCTATTTATTATGGCCATTGAACTGTTAGCTTTAAAATATAATATTAAGGGGCTAAGAGTTAAGGGATTAGAGACAAAAGTATCAATTTTCAACCTTGAAGGGCCTCGTTGAGGACCTGGATAACTTCTGCAATTTCTCTGGACTAAAACCCAACTATGATAAGTGTATTAAATTACGGATTGGGTCTCTAAAAGATAAACTTTAAATTGCCATGTGGTCTCCCAATTAAATGGGCTTGGTGTATATGTCCCGGAAAAGTTTAGCGATCTTAAAGTTGAGCAACTATTAATTTGGATCAAAAACGTAGAATCTTGAAACCGTGGAGAGGGAAAAACGTATCCATTTACCGGAAGATTACCCTGATGAATTATCTAGTGATATCGCAGTTTACATATTTATTCTTGGCTCTACTGATTCCAGGAGAATCCTTTTTCAAATAATGCGTGAAAAAAATATTTCACTTTCACAAATATCATACTCCCCCAAAAATTATAACCTCCCGTTCTTGTAATGTCTTGGTGGCATATTTGTGTGTCTAACTTTGGTCAACACTGAGTTCAACTTGGGATAATCAGTACCACGAATGTGGCTCACCTTTTAGCCAGGTACATTTCTATGGTAATGAATCCTTCAGATCTAACCTGCGGGGTAGGCTAACTACATTTCTCCTGAATGAAGTGTCTGAGCCGTGAATTTAGGACCAATGAAATCAGATTCATTCCGTCTCGCAAAGATTGTGTCATCATCCACTTCATTTGAGGAAGACAACTGATTAGATATTGTATTAATGAAACATTTTTGTTAGTAAAGTTTTTATTTTATTTCAACACTAATTAAAATGTGGCACTGACGTGCACATGGATTGATGTTTCTGCATTGTCTCAATGAAGGGTTCGGCGTTCGACTAGCCACGTGCGACATGCACGCGCAGTTACAAGCCGGCTAGAGTTAGCGGCAGGCGGACGAGCAATATCCACCGTAGTAGTACGGATGAAGCCTGAGCTAGAATGGGACGCTAACTGCAGCTGGCTATCTTTAGAAAACCCTGAGTAGATCTAGCTTGCTTCGTAGTATACTCCTTCTGTTCAAAGAATGTCAGTTCTCAATTTGAGAACTATGTTAGGAAAATATTGACTATTATTGAAGGGAATTAACTTTGTGTCTACCTATTAATTATTATTATTAAAACCAATTTGTTCACTGAAAGTGTGCTTTGTTTCTCAAACAAACTTCAAATTTGACTTTACTGTCCAAACACGCATGCATGTTAACTGTATAAATACACTTTTATAAAGTCCTATCTAATTGCAAAGTCAACGTTATTGCAGTCTGAGCACTGTTAAAACTCCAGGGGCGTGTTCATAAGTGCACGGGATGGAAAACCTTTAAAAACATTTTGCAATGTAAAACAGAAATTAGCTTTTTTGTTGTTGTTGATTTTCTTCAATTTGTTGTGCCTAATGAACACAACCCAGGTAGACTCTCCCCGTTTTCACAGTGAGACACATGGAGTTTGTATGTGGGCAGGAGGTCACCAAAATCCTTTTATTTAGCTCCACTTGTATTACAATTTATGACCAGTAGAGGCCAGAAAAGCCTGTCTTTCTTTCAAAGAGTATTAGAGAAGAGTATGTAGCCCCTATCTACACCGAGACCATGTGCAGTAGACTTAGGTCAAAACCTATACTCTATGGTCAACTCCTCTCAGCCCAGATTGGTCAAATAAAACACTTTATTGCAGGACTCATTCTGGGCTTGGATACATTATGTCTGCATACATACCCTGTATGCCTATTTACAACCCAATAGCATAACATGATAAGACAAATATGGGCTTAAATATATTCAGAATTGATATGTATAAACATGCACAGTATGTCCTTATACTATTTCCCCCAAAGTTATGTGAGATCGTGGGGAACAAACAGATTTAGAGCAGATTGAGGAGAACTCCCCGGAACTAATTCATCTTCCTGGAAATTACATGGCATTCAGCCTGCCAACACAGAGCTGACTGAAAAGAGGAAAGACAATGGAGCTACTAAACACATTAGTCACCCTACGATTCAGTATCACTGGGCCGTCTCTCTTTCAACGCTTTCTCTCAGTCAGACTCTAACACACTCTTTCACTCAAAACCTCTCTCGCTTAACCTCAATCTCTGAAACACTCTCTATCCCCCAAACCTCTGTCTATCCACTCTCTCTGTCTACCCTCTCTCTCTCTCACTGCTGCTCCTACTGATTATAGAACACCACACAGAGCTTTTCAGCACAGGCCCAAGGTCATTGGCCCAGCTCAAAAAATAAATAACATACAGTACTAACAGCCCAGTTATTTCTCCTGCCAATGATGGGGAAAAGCCAATCACCATGAGATGGCAGGGTATGATCACCACTACAAACTGCGCCATAAAAGCCCTGACCTAAAGGCCAGGTAGTACAGCATGTCTGCATGCAGGGATGCTACATTCCAAAGATTTTCTATGGGGTTGAGATCTGGAGACTGGCTAGGCCACTCCAGGACCTTGAAATGCTTCTTATGAAGCCACTCCTTCGTTGCCTGGGCAGTGTGTTTGGGATCATTGTCATGCTGAAAGACCCAGCCACGTTTCATCTTCAATGCCCTTGCTGATGGAAGGAGGTTTTCACTCAAAATCTCACGATACATGGCCCCATTCATTCTTTCCTTTACACGGATCAGTCGTCCTGGTCCCTTTGCAGAAAAACAGCCCCAAAGCATGATGTTTCCACCCCCATGCTTCGCAGTAGGTATGGTGTTCTTTGGATGCAACTCAGCATTCTTTGTCCTCCAAACACGACGAGTTGAGTTTTTACCAAAAAGTTCTATTTTGGTTTCATCTGACCATATGACATTCTCCCAATCCTCTTCTGGATCATCCAAATGCACTCTAGCAAACTTCAGACGGGCCTGGACATGTACTGGCTTAAGCAGGGGGACACGTCTGGCACTGCAGGATTTGAGTCCCTGGCGGCGTAGTGTGTTACTGATGGTAGGCTTTGTTACTTTGGTCCCAGCTCTCTGCAGGTCATTCACTAGGTCCCCCCGTGTGGTTCTGGGATTTTTGCTCACCGTTCTTGTGATCATTTTGACCCCACGGGGTGTGATCTTGCGTGGAGCCCCAGATCGAGGGAGATTATCAGTGGTCTTGTATGTCTTCCATTTCCTAATAATTGCTCCCACAGTTGATTTCTTCAAACCAAGCTGCTTACCTATTGCAGATTCAGTCTTCCCATCCTGGTGCAGGTCTACAATTTTGTTTCTGGTGTCCTTTGACAGCTCTTTGGTCTTGGCCATAGTGGAGTTTGGAGTGTGACTGTTTGAGGTTGTGGACAGGTGTCTTTTATACTGATAACAAGTTCAAACAGGTGCCATTAATACAGGTAACGAGTGGAGGACAGAGGAGCCTCTTAAAGAATAAGTTACAGGTCTGTGAGAGCCAGAAATCTTGCTTGTTTGTAGGTGACCAAATACTTATTTTCCACCATAATTTGCAAATACATTCATTAAAAATCATACAATGTGATTTTCTGGATTTTTTTTCTCAATTTGTCTGTCATACTTGACGTGTACCTATGATGAAAATTACAGGCCTCTCTCATCTTTTTAAGTGGGAGAACTTGCACAATTGGTGGCTGACTAAATACTTTTTTTCCCCACTGTAGGCCTATGTTTATAGCCAAAAAGTTAGAAACAAATGTTTATTCTTCCAAAGCATACAACCAAATTGTGACACTATGAAATTAGGCTTAAAAACAAGCATCCCTGGTAGTGGTAGTAATATAATAATAATAATACATCTCTAAATGACATTTGTGTAACATTAGGCGACCTACCGTTTTTCCATCGTTGCCAAACAGCACCAGGCCCGCCTTGGTGACCAGACCAGGTCGACTGGTACCAGGGATCTCCAGGGGCTGACCAATAGCAGTCACACCGCTGTCTACCAGAGAGGAGCCGTAGAACGTCACTTTCTAGAGGACAGACCACAGTGGAATCAGCCTTTGGGTGGAGCTCAATAGTCTAGACTCCTTTAATTTTATCTCATCTGCACCGATGTGACTGAACTGGAGAACATGATTTACATTGTATTATTAACAGGAAGGGTGGACACAGGGATTTGAACCCCGGTCTCAGGTGGGGAGCAGTATATGTGACTGGCCGGGATCGTTACAGCTAGGCCACTGGCTCTGCATGTACTTTACTGACTTTATTGTCCCCTTGGGGAAAATGTGTTGCCGTATCACGTACACGCTTTAAAATGCTGTTTAAGAAAAGGACAATACACATTAATGACATTTATACACAGTAGCCACTGTAAGAAGCCCAGCCTGCTGGTCTCAGTGAATGGATAGTGGTCTCAGTGAATGGATAGTGGTCTCAGTGAATGGATAGTGGTCTCAGTGAATGGATAGTGGTCTCAGTGAATGGATAGTGGTCTCAGTGAATGGATAGTGGTCTCAGTGAATGGATAGTGGTCTCAGTGAATGGATAGTGGTCTCAGTGAATGGATAGTGGTCTCAGTGAATGGATAGTGGTCTCAGTGAATGGATAGTGGTCTCAGTGAATGGATAGTGGTCTCAGTGAATGGATAGTGGTCTCAGTGAATGGATAGTGGTCTCAGTGAATGGATAGTGGTCTCAGTGAATGGATAGTGGTCTCAGTGAATGGATAGTGGTCTCAGTGAATGGATAGTGGTCTCAGTGAATGGATAGTGGTCTCAGTGAATGGATAGTGGTCTCAGTGAATGGATAGTGGTCTCAGTGAATGGATAGTGGTCTCAGTGAATGGATAGTGGTCTCAGTGAATGGATAGTGGTCTCAGTGAATGGATAGTGGTCTCAGTGAATGGATAGTGGTCTCAGTGAATGGATAGGGACATTAGCCCAAGCTATTTAGGAGGGATATCACATTTGGTTATTATTGTTTAGTCCTGTTTTTTCTGCAGGGAGGTGCCATACCTGCACCCAGAGGGGATTAGTTCAAAGTCCAGGTACAGGGGGTGGCTTGGGTCTAAAATGATTTTGTGAGCCTTGCTGAGGGCCCTGACCTTGAAGATCTCATCAAGCCTATCTGTTTGACTCCAAGTACCTTGCTTGCTGTGGTGATAATCCTTCTCAGCATGTTATTTTGGCTGGCTGGCTGACCGTGGCATTACCGAACCAACAAACAATACTCTCAGTAGACTACTATATTCTTACCTGTCCATCAACCTCCGCCCAGGCACCAGGCACTTTGTCATTTCCTCTGATCCAGTTGTGTAGGGCCTGTGCAGACTGGTTCCAGTCAATCTACAGAAAAACACAAATCATAATAACTGATTACCTGAAATCAACATAGACATGCATATCTGAATAAAACGATAGGAAATATGTGGTCCTATGTAATCTCAAACATAGTGTTACAGGAGTGCTTGAGCAGTCCACTGATCTTGTGGTTAGAAGCAAGATGGCTGGAGCAGTGTGTTTACAGAATTTAGTCTGGGTCTTGGCCTACCTTGGCATTGTCTTTCTTCTGAATTCCCTCATAGGTGGCTCCCTCCTCTGGCTGGACAATCTTTGGGGCATTCCCTGCTGCGATCAGCCTCACTGCATCCACCTGTGAACCAGGTCAACTTGACTAACATGCTCAAAGATTCCCAACAGTATGGAATGGGTCTCACCCTCCACTTGTGTTTTTGTACTATGCCGCATTTTCTTTTTGCATTCATGAGACTGTTTCAAACAATATTTGTTGATATGGCTGGCCATATGTGACAGACAGAGAAAACTGCATTCCTCAGAGTACTGAAGTGTGGCCTTGTTGTATCTCTTTGACTTACTGTGCCTTTCACTCCCTCAGGGAAGAGGAACCTCTTGTAGATGGTGTTGACAGTGTCATCAGGCTCCACGTCACACTCCCTCTGCAGCAGGATTGGTCCAGTGTCCAGTCCGTCATCCGCCCAGAACACTGTGAACCCGCCTTTCTTGTCCCCGTGGATCAAGGTCCTGTTGTCAAACCCATGGAGGGTAAAGTAAGCCTAACACACTCATCCTACTCAGAACTTTGACGCTTTGTTTGACCATGCAAGCCTCTCACCTCTTTTGTCCAATCAGCAGGTTTATGTTTTAACCATGTGTAAATCAACCAACCAAACAAACAGTCAACCAACAAACCCATCAATCAGATAAACAAAAAAACATTTTACCTGCTGTGGAGACAAAATCAATAAATCAACTAATGAAAACACCAACCAACCGACCAACTAGTGACTGTCGCACCAACCAACCAATCATCCGTTTGTCCATCCATTTGTCCAAGCAGCCATCCACTCACCAGTTGATGGCAGAGGCCCCCCTGTGTCGGGGAAGCAGGGAGGGGTGGTAGATGATGGAACCGTGGGCCGGGTGGTCGATGACCTCCATGGGGATGAACTGGGAGCAGAAGGGCATGACGTTGAGCTCGGCCCCTGTGGCCTTGTAGGCCTCCACCACCTCCGGGATGCCTTTCCCCTTCAGGCGCCAGCGTGGGAACTTGAAGACGGTCACGCCATCCTTCTCAGCCTCCATGCCTGTAGGTGTAGAGGGGCAAAGATAGGAGTGATGTTTCTCCCATAGCGTATGTAATTCAAGTCAAATTGCCATGGTCTAAGGGGCTTTCCCAACCGTTCTAGTAATTCTATGGTTTCAAATGTGAAATGCCTTTCTTGCAAGCTCTAAAACCAACACTGAAGTGATACATATCAATGTAGTACAAAGAAATAACATAAGGTAGAACAAAAACTCACAGGAAAGTAAGAAGCTATATACAGGGTCAGTTCCAGTACCATATTTACAATGTGCAGGGATAATGGAGTGATAGAGGTAGATATGTATAGGGGTAAGGTGACTAGGCATAAGTCTGTATGATAAACAGAGTAGCAGCAGCGTAAATTAAGATTGCATGTGAGTGTGTGCATGTGTGTAGAGTCAGTATAAATGTGTGTGCATGTTATGTGTGTTGGAGTGTCAGTGTGTGTGAGTGTGTAGAGTCCTGTGAGTGTGCAGAGAGAGTGAAAAAATATAAATAAAATACAAGGGTCAACTCAGATAGTCTGTGTAGCCATTCTGTTAGCTATTTAGCAGTCTTATGTCTTGGGGGATAGAAGCTGTTCAGGATCCTGTTGGTGTCAGACTTGATGCACCGGTACCACTTGCCGAGCGGAAGCAGAGAGAACACTCTATGGCTTGGGTGGCTGGAGTCTTTAATGATTTTCCGGGCCTTCTTTTCCAACCGCCTGATATAGAGGTCCTGGATGGCAGGGAGCTTGGGCCCAGTGATGTACTGGGCTGTTTGTTTGGGGCAATTTCATGGAAACGGAATTACGCTGAGACATATATTTTTCCCTTTAAAATGTATACCAAACAAAAAAAACATTGATTTCAACATTTACTAAACCATACAACTCTATGCACAAGTACTACTTTTAACAATTTCCACAGAACATTTTACAAGAACACATTTACAGGAAGAACTATGCAGATACAAAGTTTGGTAACAGAACAAAACTGAAGGAGATTTTACCTTAATGATCTTATTTTTTTGTGCAAATTGTTCAAAGTAGCCATTTTGCATAGAGTTGTATGGTTTGTTAAACTTTGAAATAAATGGTCTTTGTTTGGCATACATTTGAAAGTGAAAAATCGGAGTCGCAGCATAATTCCGTTACCATGGAATTACCCTTTGTCCTTGGCCCTTTGTAAGTTATTTGTAAGCAACTTTCGTCCTTGCTACCGTTACGCACAGTATGTACTTCCAAAAAAAGTCTAAATAGAAATGATATATTATTTTTAACCAAGTGCGCATGTGCCAAATCCACCTTCGGCACCTCCAATAAAATCACTCATTACTGCCACGCACAGGTTGGCTGATCCAGCAGCATTACAGTATCCCCAAATATCATTGATTTTATTTTTATTTAGACCTTTTTTGGAAGTACATACCGTGCGTAATGGCAGTAATGACGATAGTTACTCTACAAAACTCCATATTTGGACATTATAACGTTTGCAGAGCTGGTTAATAGGACTTTGAATTGATGGATCCTGCGTATCAGAGGATATCTCGTCATAGTCATAATCTCTTCAAGCCCAGGTTCTGGTTCAGGTTGGTTAGGTAAAAGTAAGGGTGCCACTGAATAGAACTCCCAGATTCAGTCATGTCAGATCAGGCTACATCAAGGGAGGAAGAAGGGGTGTATTTAATGTATTCAAACAGGGCCCTTGACTCCTTTTAGGTAGAGAGAATTTCACAGTCTGGCTGTAGGCATCAACATTTTCAATAGAGCCAATGTAATTGGTAATTACCATGGGCAGACTGTATATTGATACTTGTTTTGTTGATTAAGAAAATGCATTGAGGACGGAGCACATGGGGGAAAGGACTGGTGTGATCCCACTGGGCACAGTCAATTCAAAGTCTATTCCACATTGGTTCAACCAGTGTGTGCCCAGTGAAATGTGTCTAATGTCTACTTTAGTCAGTGGTGAACAACAGGCACAACATTTATCAGTGTTCAGTTGACAAGATCAACTACAAGGCCCCTGTTTCCTTTCAAATTTTTTACAAGAATCCATTGATTTTCTCTTAGAGTTTGGGACAGGACTGTTCTTTGACTGATAATGTGAGAGTTCAAACTTCACTTGACATTAAAAATATTATGTTTGCCCTCAGAGTATGTGTTCTCTGTGTAGTCTTTGGTTTACTTTATGTACTCTGGTGTGAGGACAAAACCATATAGAAAATACAATATGAATACAGTATATCCAAAGGCTTTGAGCATGTGCTTGATAGCCAAGTAAAATGTCCCTCAGCAAAAAAGAAGACTCCCACCTCTGTGAGATTTGCTCTCTTGTGTGTTTCATACGCAAATGGTTTTGCATTATAGTAGTGTGGAGACTGAGAGTCTTGTCATTGCTGAAGAAAAAAGGTGCAGTCATGCCTGCTCACCTAGAGGGTCGGCTTTGCCATCCTTGTTAGGTATAGTGAACACTCCAACGATGGTGTGGCCCTCCTTCCTCAGCTCCTTGTACACCTCCAGGCCAAAAACACTCTGACCAATCACAGCTATCCTCATCATGAGCGATCACAAACTACTGGCACAAAAAGGCAACACAGAAAAACAGCGAAAGAGCCTTTTACTTTATTCAATACTTCTCGAGACATAGGCTATTTATAAAAGAAGCATTTGAATATTATTAATTTCAAAATAACCAAATGACTACCTCAACTAGCCGGTGCCCCCGCACCGGTACCCCTGTGTATATAGCCTCCCTACTGTTATTTTATTTTACTTCTGCTCTTTTTTTCTCAACACTTTTTTGTTGTTGTTTTATTTTACTTTTTATTAAAAATAAATGCATTGTTGGTTAAGGGCTGTAAGTAAGCATTTCACTGTAATGTCTACACCTGTTGTATTCGGCGCATGTGGAAAATACAATTTGATTTGATTTGATATTTATGTTATCCAAAAGTTTTCCATTCTCATTTGTGTAACATCAGGCAAATAGAGGGGCAAATATCAGATCCATTGTTTAGTAAGGTCATGAAAAGTAGTTGACAGTGGGCGCATTTGAGTGGACTGGCTCAAGCAACCGACTGTAGACGAAAGTCAAGGAGTAAATTCGGTAGAGGTGCAACTGCAACAGCCGAAAGTCAGACACTAATTGGTTTTCCAACAGCAAGGCTCAGATCAATATGGCAGTGTTGCCATTGTTTATACAAGTTTTTAAAAAAAATTCTACGTCTCCAAACCCCATATCACACACTCACAAACGGAAATAATATGTGTGTACATTGTACAATCAATTAGTGACAGATTCAAATATCACATTAATTTGTATATATCCACTGTATACACAAATCGCGACAAAGTTCGTTCTTGTTTCAGTCATGTCTATGATCACGTTTGCATGGGTCAAACAAAAACCCCTAATGATTAGTTGACAATAGAACCTCCCACAATGCAGGCCATGGTTGCAGGAGGATGTTGGTGAATAGCAACTGCAGAAACTTGTAGTCGACTGCAATTAAAACTTCATGACCTTTGATCACATGATTTTTGTAAAGTTAATGCAGTCGACATGTAGATGTAAATCTGAATGTTTTTATCCCAATAATGCAACACACTTTAAAAGGTCTCCTTTTTTCTCCATATTTTATAACTGGGGTCGCACTTGTTTCAACCAATCACGTTGCAGAGCAGATCCCTGCCTATGGAGGATTGACCAATATAATCGACCGAGCTCTTGTACACTAGACTTCTACCTACAGGATGCCTCAATATACCTTTCATACAATGAAAAATATGCAGAAACAAATCTTTGAACTTATTTTTAATGATGCACAGTGAAGGTTCACTTTTGCAATACGCTCTCCGATAGAAAACACAAGTAAAAGTTGCTACACCACGAAGGGGAGACAACTTTTATGACAGCGCGATATTAGTTTATTACAGTGTGAGCGAGCTACCTTGCAGGTTGGCTTCGTTGCAAACCTTTATAAAGATATTTGAGAAATATAGAAAGTAATGTATTAACACGACGATATGAACAATTCAAGTATGTGATGCTAGGCGCGCGACCCAGAACCAAACAACGTCCAATTCTACAACATTGTGCACTGTGCAATCTCGAGATAGCAAATCTCAACACATATAGAAATATGCAGATGAATATAAAACATTAACGTTACCCTTGCTTTAATGCTGGGCTAAGTCTCCCCTACTGGCGTGCTGTTAGGGATCGTGTGGACACCGTTGCTCTTTATTTCGGCCGAGAATGTCAAAAGGCAGGCAGGCTGCTTTGAGCCACTGTAACAGCCATTAGTGATTACACAACAGTTAAAAGCGTGTGATGTGATAGGGCGGTCTAGCCGCAAGGGGTGGTCGTAAACTTTGGACTTCCAAAACTATTTCTGTAGTAACGTTTCAAGACTCTATTATTCACTGGTCTGGATTCAATATAAAGTTCTACTGAAAAAAATACCATAAATACCATACAATTTGTATGGTATTTTTTTCAGTAGAACTTTATATTGAATCCAGACCAGTTGAGAAGTGTGTGTGTGTGGTATAGTTTATTACAGTAGTTTATGACGGATGGATAATTTCCTCATTGGTTCATATCTATACCATAAAACAGGTTGTTATAGAGACAGAAACATAGGAGAGCAATGGTCAGTAGGTTATAGCCTTGTTGACCACTCCCATTTACCATCAACTCCTGCAAAGTTCAATAAAGTTAAAGCTACAATATGAAACTTTTTGGCGCTCCAACCAAATTCACATAGAAATGTGAGTTATAGATCATTCATGTGCATTGAAAGCAAGTCTAATAAGGGGTAGATCTGTTCTATGTGTGCTATTTCTATGCTTCCCGTTCTTGTCTTTTACTTTCGGTTTTATACACCAGCTTCAAACATTTGACATTTACATTTTAGTCATTTAGCAGATGCTCTTATCCAGAGCGACTTACAGTTAGTGAGTGCATATATATTTTTTCTTTTTTTCATACTGGTCCACCGTGGGAAACGAACCCACAACCCTGGCGTTGCAAACGCCATGCTCTACCAACTGAGCTACAGGGGACTTTCAAACAGCTGAAAATACAATATGTTTGGTTATAGAAAATATATTTCACAGTGGTTTAGATGTTACAATGATTATCTACACAATGACTGCTTGTTTTGTCACATAAACTGAAATTAGGCGAACTAGTAGAATTTTAGCATAGCGATTTCTGCATAGTGTATCTTTAATAATTTACATCATATTTGTCAATTTACTGTATTGACCTTCGCAGGAAGTTATTCAACGTGCACAGACATTGCAGGTTTGTGCTATGGCCATTAATTAATGACAAATTATGATAATAGCTCAGTTGATTGGGACATAGTTGTACCAATGTTAGTATTGTTGCAACCGCACAGGTTAAGTTAGGACATTACAACTCTACTGATAATATTGGCATTTCCCACAGTTGGTTGTGTGCTAGCCATCAGAGCAGGGTCACTAAAATACTAGGGACTGTCACTGTGACTCAAATGTGGAAAAGCTCAGGCCATAGTGCTTGCGTCACACACAGCGTCTGAATGCAACCCAGTTTAGTTAGAGCCAGTTTACACTAGTAACCAGTTATCATTGGGGTTAATGAGTGATAGGACTGGAGTCACCTGACTGCATCAGACCAGCACAGCAGATAGTGGAGGTGATATACAGTGCCTTCAGAAAGTATTCATACCCCATGAGTTATTCCACATTTTGTTGTGTTACAGCCTAAATTCAAAATTGATTAAATACAATTTTTAAAAATAGGTGAAAATATGTTTTTAGAAAATGTTGCAAATGTATAGAAAATGAAACACAGAAATATCTAATTGAAATAACTATTCACACCCCTGAGTCAATACTTTGTAGAAGCACCTTTGGCGGCGATTACAGCTTTGAGTTGTCTTGGGTATGTCTGTATCAGCTTTGCACATCTGGATTTTGGGATTTTGTCCCATTCTTCCTCGCAGATTTTGTCAAGCTCTGTTAAATTAGATGGGGAGTGGCGGTGAACAGCAATCTTCAAGTTTTTCCACAGATTTTCAATGGAATTCAAGTCTGGGCTTTGGCTGCGCCACTCAAGGACTTTCACATTCTTGTTCTGAAGCCATTCCAGCATTGCTTTGGCTGCATGCTTGGGGTCATTGTCCTGTTGGAATGTAAATCTTCACCCCAGTCTAAGGTCATTTGCACTCTGAAGCAGGTTCTCATCAAGGATCTGCCTGTATTTGGCTCAATTCATTGTCCCCTCTCTCCTTACCAGTCTCCCAGTCCCTGCCTCTGAAAAGCATCCCCATAGCATGATGCTGCCAACACCATGCTTCACGGTAGGGATGGTTTTAGATGGGTGATGAGCTGTGCCTGGTTTTCTCCAGACATAGCGCTTTGCATTCAGGCCAAATACTTACATTTTTGTCTCATCAAACCACAGAATCTTTTGCCTTATGCTTTCAGAGTCTTTCATGTACCTTTTTGCAAATACTAGGCGTGCTGTCATGTGCCTTCTTCTCAGGATTGGCTTCTGTCTGGCCACTCTCCCATAAAGCCCAGATTGGTGAAGTGCTGTAGAGCCCTTCTGGCAGGTTCTTCCATCTCAGTCAAAAAACAGTGGTCATTGGGTTCTTGGTCACCTCCCTGACCAAGGTACTTCTTGCCCAGTTGCTCAGTTTGGTCGGGTGGCCAGCTCTAGGCAGAGTCTGGGTAGTTACATATTTTTTCAATTTCCCAATGATGGAGACCACTGTGCTCTTGGAAACATTCAACACTCTAGAAATGGTTTTATGCCCTTCCCCAGATATATGCCTCATCACAATTATTTCTCGAAGATCTACAGACAGTTCCTTGGACTTCATGGTATAGTTCCTGCTCTGACATGCACTGTCAACTGTGGGACCTTGTATAGACATTTGGGTTTCTTTCTAAATCATATGTCCAAATAATTGAATTGGCAACAGGTGTATTCCAATCAAGTTGTAGTGACATCACAAGGATGATCAAAGGAAATTGGATGCAGCTGAGCTCAATTTGGAGCGTCATAGCAAAAGGGTGGTCCTCTGTAGCTCAACTGGTAGAGCACGGCGCTTGTAACGCCAAGGGTGTGGGTTCGATCCCCGGGACCACCCATACACAAAAATGTATGCACGCATGACTGTAAGTCGCTTTGGATAAAAGCGTCTGCTAAATGGCTTATTATTATTATTAGGGTGTGAATAATAATGTAAATTAGATATCTGTATTTAATTTTCAATAAATTAGAAAAAACTTCTAAAAACATGTTTTCACTTTGTCATTATGGGGTATTGTGTGTAGATGGATGAGATAAAAAAATACATATTTTATCAATTTTGAATTCAGGCTGTAACACAACCAAATGTGGAATAAATCAAGGGGTATGAATACTTTCTGAAGGCACTATGTCTGTGTGTGTGTGTGTGTGTGAGCACGGGGATGGGTGTTTGTGGGTTCTATTGATTCTTGATCAACAATGTCCAGTGACATTGAAATCAGATTTAAGTTACTGACTAGTTGGT